AAGGCGCGGTTACACTAGGTCTCTACACCGTATAGTCGGGCAGCTTACTCGAGGATATATAGATATTGCGACCTAGGGAGGCGGGATTTCCTTACAATATTAGCGGCGCGAGGGTATTAAAGGGGCGTAAATATACTAAAAGTTACCTATATTACCTTTATCGTAATATAAATATAAAGGTTTATATAGTTAGTAGATAGAGGGATACTAATATACTAGCTAAGGGATGGTTATAATTATAAAGGCGGGAGATATTAATATACTAGCCGAGGTATACTTAGAATCGTAAAGCGGGAAGATTAGTATATATTAGCGAAATTATTAATATACCGGCGAAGATATCGACGCACTAATTAAGGCGTAGTTATAGTCGTAAAGTAGAAAAGATATTAATATACTAGTAAAGATATCGACGCACTAATCGAGGCGTAATTATAGCCGTAGAGTAGAAAAGGTATTAATATATCGGTGAAGATATTAACGTACTAACTAAGGGGTAGATATAGTCGTAGAGTAGAAAAGGTATTAATGCACTAGTGAAGATATCGATATACTAACTAAGGTATAGATATAGTTATAGAGTAGAAAAGGTATTAATGTACTAATAAGAATATTAATATATAAATCGAGGTATAAATATAGTCGTAGAGTAGAAAAGGTATTAATATACTAGTGAAGATATAGTAACGGTTATAGAGTAGAAGGATATAGATATATTAAAATAGTCGTGAAGTAGAACCGGAATTAATATACGCCCGTAGAGTAGAAGAGAACACTAAGATAGAAAAGTAGGGCGCTAAGCCTAAGACCGGCACAATAGCGACGATAATATCTTAACCCCCTAATAAGATATAACGATACGGATAACGGAAGAGGGGAGCCTAACGGGGTATCTATCCAGTAAATAAATTATCGAGACTAAATCTATAAAGACTCTCTAACCGTACCTCGAGACGCTTAGGTAGATTTTTTAATAAGGTGTTATAAGTACGGGCTTCTTCTTTAGAATACTTTTTAGGCCGGCCCCTTAGAGCTATAGCGAGCTATCCTTATAGGTAATTAGTTAAATAATAAATTATCTACTCCAGTACGATTTATGCGTTTACTACTATAAAGAGTGTTTAAATAAGGAAAGGCGTCGATAGGATATAGCTTATAGGTATAGCGAAGAGAAGGAAATTAAAAAGGGAAAGGCTTTAAATATATATATAGCTTATTAATGTAGCGACCGGAAGAAAATCTAAAAGGGAAAGGTGTTAAAGAAGTGTATAGCTTAATAAAGTACGGAGTAAATAGCTTATAAATACAGCGAAGGGGAGGAAATTAAATATAGAAGGGTATTAAATAAGTATATAGCTTACACTAGGGGACTAGTAATAAATTTAAGCGACACCCTTAGCGTCTTATCTTCCTTATCCAGGATAAGAACGCCTTTAATTACCTTCGCATTAAGAAGTCTTATAATTATCGATTTAGTGTAGTATCTTAGGTTATATAGATTAAGTAAGTGCAGATAGGAAATCCGTAATATTACTCGTATAGATAGGAAATCCGTAATATTACTCGTGTAGACAGGAAATCCGTAATATTACTCCGCGAGTAGCTTTAAGACCTTTACTACACTAATCATAATCATCAGCGCCAATATATCTTATACTTCTCCTAGTAGTTAACAGGCGTCGATCGCGGCCATCACGGTCTCCTTTACTTAATTTACTGGCCGCGATGTTACTATATACTAAAGCAATAGTTATCGCGTCGAGATAATCTTACTAATAGGTGTATAGCTTATTAGTACAGCGAAGAGAAGAATACTAAATAAGGAAAGGTAGCTTATAGGTGTATAGCTTATTAGTATAGCGAAGAGAAGAAAACTAAATAAGGAAAGGTGTAAATCTTCTTAGTGAAGACCCTATAAAAATAATTTTAAAGAGGAAAGACTAAAGAATGCTAAGAGTATAGGTTAACTATATTAAAACCCTATATACTATATAGAAGAGAGTTTTTACCACACTATTCTTTAATAAAGTTAATTCTAGTAAGTTAAATTATAATATTAACCCTAAGATATTATTTAAAGTATTATAGTCATTTTAAATTTTAAAAAAGTAGTAAAGAACACTACTCTAACTTATACTTTAGCTTAATGTAATCCTAGTTCGCTATATAGGTCTTTATCCTAGATAAGAATCTTCTAAAATTCTTAACTCTTCTTACTTTTCTAATTATATAACTTCTTCTTCTACGGAAACTATCCGGATCCGGCCTTATTAAAGTAGTAAATAGTATATAAATCGTTATAGTAAGTAGTTTAGGATAGGGCTATATAATTAGCTTCTTTTTATTACTTCATTTAGTATACTTTTTACTTTAAGGCCTAACCTACCTTATTAGGGTTATCTTTCTTTTCCTCTAGCTTACCTACACTATATATATCCGAATCTTAGTAGCCCTTCCGTACTATTAGATCTTAGTCCTTAGTAATTACTTTAATCTCTATAGAAGTATCGGCCTTTATTTCTCCTATACCGGTTATATTGTCGCTTAATATTATATATAGTCCGTAAGCCGTTTACTTATAATTTTTTATATAATATCCGGGTTTTCTATAAGTGTAGTATAAGTCTCCCTTCCCTTATTAGGTCTATTACCTACTCTTCCGACCTTTCCTATAGTATTCTCCTCTACCTCGGGTGCGATTACCCTAGTCCCTTAAAGGGGGGTTACAGTATATAAGGTCGAGGTCTATAGGGTTACTATAGCTCTATTTCCCTTAAAAACGGTAGCTTTATTTAGTAAACTTATTCTAGTCTACGCGTCCTTTATTTTCTATATATAGTTTATAGAGTCTATTATTAATCTTAATAACCTTATTTACTATCTCCTTATATATTATAGGCGGATCTATTATTTCTCGGTAAACGAAGTCCTTTAAGCTATTATAGAAGATCTAGGCGAATATATCCTCGTTATCCTAACTAAGTTTCGAGGCGACTTAATGGAATTCGGAGTAGTATACCGCGGTAGATCCCTTTTATTTAAGAGTGTAAATAACCCTTACTACGACTCGTTTATCGTTAATAGTACTAAAGACCTTTCGCATCCGACCTTCGAACTTAGCGAAGCGTTCGAAGTAGTTACGAGTATCTTAGTCTAGTTTATTAGAGTTAATATAGTCCTTTATAATAGGTTTAAACTAAGCGAATACCGCGCCCTTAAGGTGTATAGCTATATATATTACTTTATTCTTACCTATAGTATACTTAGTTAGGTTAAGCTTAAAGATAAGCTTAAGTTGGATTAAGAAGGCGTTAAGTTTACTATAGTCTCCCTAGTATAGGTTAACCTTAATAATATCCTTCTTATCTTCGTTACGAATATTAGCTAAGCTGCTAGTAGATATATTCCTAAGGCTTCCTATAGTGAGACGATTAATAGGTGGTAAGGTAGGTTAGTGGCTGCTAGATATCTTAGTTATACTCGTTTAAAAGGGTAGTTAAAGTGTTATAAATCGCTCTATATAAGGCGGTCTACGGTCTAAGTAGGTTTACTTATAGGGAGTAATAACTATACATCTACTAAGGGTGAAAGGGCACGCGGTTACTTATAACGGCGTAATAGTAAAACAATACTCTTAATCTAAAGGTAGGGGTTAGAGTATTAACGAAGTTAACTATAATACTATAGGGGTAAGTACTACCTATATATATATAACTTACCTTAGCTTAGTTAGCTTAGGGTGGCTTAGTGTGCTTAGTGCTGAGCTAGACTAAGCCTACTGAGCTAGACTGAGCTGTTACGTAACTCTAGCCTTACTACACTCCTAAGGCTATAGTCTCGTGCTCCTTGGGCTCGGCCTAGCTACCTTCCCTATCTCCACCTCCGGCCTTACTAAAGGTCGAGCTGTAACATTTATAAGTAGCTTTAAGACCTTTACTATATTAACTATAATTATCGGCGCTAATATATCTTATACTTCTCCTAGTAATTAATAGACATTAATCGTGGCTATTATAGTCTCCTTTACTCGATTTACTAGCTATAATATTACTATATACTAAAGTAATAGTTATCGCGTCGAGATAATCTTATTAATAGATATATAGTTTATTAGTGTAGCGAAGAGAAGAATACTAAATAAGGAAAGGTAGCTTATAGGTATATAGCTTATTAGTATAGCGAAGAGAAGAAAACTAAATAAGGAAAGGTGTAAATCTTCTTAGCGAAGACCCTACGAAAATAATTTTAAAGAGAAAAGGCTAAAGAATACTAAGGGTGTAGGTTAACTATATTAAAACCCTATATACTGTATAGAAGAGAGTTTTTACTACACTATTCTTTAATAAAGTTAATTCTAGTAAGTTAAATTATAATATTAACCCTAAGATACTATTTAAAGTATTATAGTTATTTTAAATTTTAAAAAAGTAGTAAAGAACACTACTCTAACTTATACTTTAGCTTAATGTATAGTACTATAGGAGCGAGTACTACCTATATATATATAACTTACCTTAGCTTAGTTAGCTTAGGGTAGCTTAGTGTACTTAGTGCTAAGCTAGACTAAGCCTGCTGAGCCGGGCTAAGCCGTCACGTGACCTTAGCCTTATACTCTTAAGGCTGTGATCCCGTGCTTCTCAGGCTCGGCCCAGCTGCCTTTCCTGTCCCCGTCCCTAGCCATGCTAAAGGTCAAGCTGTAACAGTAAGCTCTAGTAGCTGTTCCTGACAGCTATACTAAGCTATTACATGACCTTAGCTTAATGTCCCTCGAGGCTGTGACCCTTCGTTCCTCGGGCTTAGCCTAGCTGCCTCTTATATTCCTGACCTGGCTGTGCTGAAGGTCAAGTCGCAATACATCGTGCCGATATACAGTTGTTACTCCCTGTAAGTAAACCTACTTGAACCTAAAACCGCCTCACGTGGAGCGATTCATAACAGAATACCTCGGTAGACATGACTTTTTCATTAGGGCGTTATTTAGTGCTGCTAGCACGCCATCCTCACTCAAAGAATCGATTCTTCGGCCGTGGCAGACCAAGGTGCTCCCGAAGTGACGTTCCCTGATAGTCCTTCCGGAAGATCCCACGCCGTTGTAATTCTGGCACAAGCCGCTGAGTAACATCATCCAGGCCTTGTGGCAAGAACGGTAGGACCACCGTGAAACCATCACACGCCTCGTCGTTCAACCACTGGTGCATGTCATTTGCAATGCTTTGGGGGGTTCCTACAAACGCAAGACCGGAATAGCCTCCTTGTCGTTGTGCAAGCTGTCGAACTGTCAAGCCTTCCTTCTCGGCAACTTTCAAAACACCTGCACGACTTGTCTTGCTCGCGTTCGTCTCTGGAATCTCGGGCAGTGGACCATCGGGATCAAACCCGGATACATCGGTTCCGAGTGCGATTGATAATGAAGCAATGGCACTGTCGTAGTGTACCAAGCTGTCAAGTCTAAGCCGCTTCTCTCGCGCTTCTTGCACGGTTTCGCCAACGACGATGAATGCAGCGGGAAGGATCTTGATATGGTTCCGATCACGACCTGCAGCAACTGCCCGACCTTTGATGTCGGCGTACAGTGCTTTTGCGGATTCGATGTCCTTTGGTGAACAGAAAACGGCTTCTGCTGTTTCGCCTGCGAGCTGCTTCCCCGGTTCAGACTGGCCGGCTTGAACAATGACAGGCCAGCCTTGTACGGGTCGGGCGATGTTGAGGGGCCCGCGGACTTTGAGTTCGTCTCCTGCATGGTTCAAGACATGAATCTTTTCCGGATCGACATAGGTTCCTGATTCGACGTCGCGAACAAATGCATCGTCTGCAAAGCTATCCCACAAACCGGTAACGACGTCGTAGAACTCTCGTGCACGCTTGTAGCGGTCGGAGTGGTCCATGTGCTCGTCGCGACCGAAGTTCTTCGCAGATTCGGGGTTGCCTGTGGTGACAATATTCCATGCTGCACGACCATTGCTGATATGATCGAGTGATGCGAACCGACGTGCGACGTGATAAGGTTCGTCGTAGGTTGTTGATGCTGTTGCGGCAAGGCCGATCTTGTCAGTGACTTGTGACAGTGCGGAGAGCAAGGTAAACGGTTCGAAAGATGTGACGGTGTGACTTCGCTTGAGCGCTTCCATCGGCATGTTCAGCACGGCCAGGTGGTCTGCCATAAAGAACGCATCGAACTTGGCATCCTCGAGTTTCCTGATGAATGACTTGAGGTGTGATAGGTTGAAGTTGGCGTCCGGGTATGCGCCAGGATACCGCCACGCTCCAGTATGAAGGGAAACGGGGCGCATGAATGCTGTGAGATGCAGTTGACGAGATGCGTCCTTGCTGCGGACAGGGAGGTCGTCTTGGTCAGCCATGTTGTTTTAAGGTGCTTCGGTGGTTTTAGACTCGTAGAAATCGTTTCTGCACAAGCGTTTGTATTGTTAGCAAGCTTGTTGTGGCGGACCTGCCCTCAATACCAGCGGTAGAAGTGCATTGAAATCATGAGGCGCTGACAAATGCGGACACTGGCGTGATCGCGACATCGCGGGGCACCTCTTTGGTCTATGCACCATGAGCATGTTCAAACATCCCGACGTGGCGACGCGCTTACTGTTTCCTCGCGCAGTGCAGAAGTGTTACAAGGTCTCAGACGTGCCGGAAAGGTCCGATCCAGGAGAAACGTGTTCAATATTCGGCCGAGGTTGCTAGCATTCGGTTTCTTCGATGTCGGTCTCAAGTCTTCATCACTTGGATGTTACTCTCTCAAGAGCCAGCTTTGGCTTTTCTGGGCTGAGCATGATCCAAAGCAACCTCATCTCCCAAAGCCCCCATCACCCTCGTCACCATGCAAGGTAACCGTCTTATCATACAAATACTCCCTCAGCCCGTACCTACCATTCTGATTTCCCCACCCGCTCGCCTTCACGCCCGAGACCGGCAGCGTCGCCTCGTCATACACGGTCGGCGTGTTGACATGGACCTGTCCATAGTCAAGTTCTCTTGCCATCTTCAATGCTTTCAACATGTCCTTGGTGTGAATGGTGGCACTCAAGCCATAGGCGCTGTCGTTCGCCAAACTCACCGCCTCCTCGGCATCTTCGACAACATACAGCGTCGCCGATGGACCGAAAGTCTCCTCGTCCCGTATCTTGGCTCCCGCTTCGACCCCAGTAATGACCGTCGGCGTCAAAGATGCATCACCAAGCCAAGAATTGTCTCCCAGGATGAATGTCCCATGGGCTTCTTCGACCAGTGCATGCGCGTGCTGTGAGATGTTCTTGGAAACAGCGAATCCGGCTTCAAACTTTTGCTTCTTCAACTCCTGAATGAACTCCTCGGCCACGTCCTTCACCACGATGATTCGCTCAGTCGAAAAACATATCTGGCCCTGATGGACGAACGCACCAAAAGCGACCTTCTTCGCAGCCTCGGCCAGGTTTGCATCCTCGAGAACAATAGCCGGACTCTTCCCTCCCAACTCCATCAGGATTGGCTTCAAATGCTTACTGGCCATTTGACCGATTGCTCGGCCAACCGAAGCACTGCCGATGAACTCTACTTTGCGTATCGCAGGATGAGCAATCAGTGCCTCGGTGACAGCCGACGCATCCTTTCGAGCAGCCTGGATTTGGTTGAGACATCCACTTGGAAGCCCGGCCTGCTCCCAGATCTCAACAATCATCGAATGAGTCCTTGGACAAAGCTCTGATGCTTTCATGACGACAGTACATCCGGCAGCGAGTGCAGCCGTAACCCCTCGCGACGAGAGTATGATGCTGCTGTTCCAGGGTGGGATCACCAGAACGGGACCGATAGCCTCTTTGAAAACGAGCCCGTAACCATCTTGGATGGGTGGGATTTCACCGACCAGGACCGTGGCGAGCGATGCCGCGAACTCGCGAATGGAACTAACAGCGAGCTTGATGTTGAAATGGGCAAACACTTCCGAGCAGGACGTCTCTTCGACCTGCCAGTGCGCAATCTCAGCCGCCCGGGCTTCGTACAAATCGGCGACTTTCAAGAGCAGGTCTCGGCGATATTCGGGTTTGGTGCGTCTCCATTTGAGGAATGAAGCCCAAGCAACATCCGCGGCTCGGCGGGCATTCGCTTCGCTCGCTGCTTGGGCATAGTGTACAACCTTGCCCTGTGCTGAAGAGAAGACTTCGATGTGATTCGAAGCATCCAGTTGCTCTGGCTTGCCGTCAATCCAAAGTGGAACGACGTTCCTGCCCTCTGCGTCTTGTATCATCGGCATGGTTGATGGTTGTGGATGGGGTGAGATTCAACACGTCCTTCACCTTTTTGTAGACTGCGACAAGTCCATTTCAGCGGCCCGAGACCAGGAGTTAGCACGGCGTACGATCGTCCGCATAACGCGCTCTGCCCCGGGTAGCTCTGGTGGGACATGCTTGAAGTTGTGGGAGACTGGGGTGCGGAGTTGGCTGACGTATCTCACACGCAAAGGAGGATAGCCTGGTACGGGGACTTAGTGTTGCTAGGATCTATCTCATCGTACAGAACCCGATCGTGCGGCCCACGGATTTTCGTCCTCCGCTTGGTGTGCACGCGCGTGTGTTTCGGAAGGTAGAATTCGAACATTTCGGCGTTAAGGCATTGCAAGCTCGGGCCAAGACCGTGTGGCAACTTAGCAGCGGATTTTACGAGGAGACTTTGAGGAAACGCGGGGTTAAAACAAGCGTCAAGGCGAGCAAGAAGTTGTGTGTAAGCAAGAATGCTAACGGCAACATCCGAGATTGCCGTACACAACCATTCGAAGCCAGCGGATCACCGAGATTCATTCCCTCAAAGTACCTTCAATTCCCTCGTCCGGACCTCCATCACCTGTCCCACAAATTCCGGATGAACGTAACGCCGGCACAATGGACACTCGCGGGTAGTATTAGGGTTGAAACCTTCCAACAACCAACCGAGTAGGCATTCCGAGTGGAAAGGCTGCTTGCAGCATGTGTGGCTCGTCACCAGACTGAGATCACCTTCATTCTCTTCGTCGTGACATATACAACACGCATCGTCGACGGTGGCTTGTTGAATCTCGAGTACCGGTAGTTCTTCTGCTTCGATAGACCTCAACAAATCCTCTCCATAGTTGGCATCTTTCAGGTGCGATGTTCTGATCCTATCTTGCAGGAACTGCTTGAATGTGTGCCGAATTCGCGCTCTTTCCCATCGTGAAGCATACGCGGGAAAGGTGAAGTCACCGGATTCTAGCGTACAGGACTCTCTCGCCACAAGACACGCCCTCGGCCGCATGGATGCTCTGTCGTACGAGTACAAACTGATTTTCTTCCTGTTGCAGCCGGCGGCGGATACCGGGGACGTCATCTTCACTGATGGCACCAATGGTATCGAAATTCAGCAGAAGTCCGGCAACAACATCTCGCGCTCTTGACAAGTCGCCAAGCGCGGCCGGTTTCATCCCTTCAAGGTCTCGGAAGCGTCCAGCAGCATTACGTTCTACCACGTCGGGATATTGATCGATCATCTCTCCATAGCAATCCACAATCCAATCAAAATGATCCCTCAGCGCGACACAGTCTTTCCAATAAATCCGGGCGGCTTCTGTGACACTCGCGGGTTCTTGATGCGTAGAGTTGGATTGCTGGATCGGGACGTCCTCTATCAAATGATACTGGTACCACTGAGGTATTGCTGGGCTGAAGTTTCTTTTGACCTCGAATCTAATGGCTTCGGGCAGACGGTCTAGTGCCTCCAGACCCCTTTTGCTGACCTCAGCCGCAATTGCTCGGCGCTTCTGAGGAATTTCGGCCCAGCTGCTAAGGGTAAAGTCAGGAACGGCGTCATGAACTTGCTCGTCCCGGTCCATGAGACGAGTAATGACTTTCAGCACCGGAACGTGATCACTGGCTCGGGGAGATTCATGATGAATGCCTCCGTCACTTCAATGTCATCTTTTGCTTCTGAAAATTGGGAAAGCGCTCTGGAAAGGTTGGCTAGGTCTTTGGAAGCGATAGGCCCTTCGATCGATCTTGCAAATTCTGCGACTCTTGTTAGGTCTTTATGAGACGGCCTGGTTGTTCTTGCAAAGTCTCTTACTAGCGTTAGTCGGGCTGCATGTAAACGTTGTCGCTCCTGCGCCGCGTAACTCAGTGTGCTGTTGTCAGACATGACTGTTAATGTTTTCGTTGACGTTGTGATGGCTGACAGAACCGAGACCGATAGTGCGCTCGTACGAGATACGTATATATATATAACAAGGCGCATTGTCCTTTGTTGGCAGTCTTGTTTTCTCGTTGCTGTGTGCAATGTCCGGGGCAATGCTGACAGACCGCGGTACCTAACAAAGAATCTCGGGCCCGGAAAGTACGGCTCGTCTCTGCTGCATATGAATTTCGAGGCCCTAACACCAAGGTCGTGGGGCAGGAGCAGACTCGAGGACGTTGCATGGGGTAGAAAGAAGCCGTTGTGTTACTGGCGGTTATCATCATTGTTGCGACTCTTCATTGTTTTCCAACAACGCAGATCAAAAGAAGACGATAACAATGCGTTTGCATTTTGATGCATTCGTCTCGATGGCCTCGCAGCCTTGCTATGGCTTCCAGATGATCCATCACAAGTCCGCTTTAGCATATCGCGATATAGACTGCGTCGGCGGCGGTAGTGCTAATACTCATTGCTCGCGCCTCTCTCTACTCGATCAATCTACATCGCAGATATGGGAGCATTGTCCGAGTAGCACCCAACGGACTCTCGTTTTCTTTGCCCACCGCCGCCATGATATCCCGGCGGCGGGCAAGGCCTTCGTTGAGACTGAAATCTATCGAGTCTTGCCAGCACAACATGCACCTGACATCTTCATGGAAACTCGAGAATGGAAGCATGCCGTACGAAACAAGATGCTGTTGCGCCATATTGCAAACTTTGTACGGAGCTTCGCGAAGTCAGCCTCTTACCGAGTGTGACCTGGGCCCAAACGCATGCATCGCCGTACTTCAAAGCGTGCTTGTTGGTGGCCATGCGAATGACGCCAGCTATTGGGTTAAGCATTCCCCAATCTGTCCCGAAAGGTGGTCCGAGGAGGGAAGGCAAGTACTATCCGGGAGGAATTGCGGGTTCTGTCAATGGCTGGGTTGTTCATCGTGACAAGTTGTTTGAAGACCACGTTCTAGTGTTCCGTCCGGAACCACGACTGTCCGGGGATGTCATGGAAATGAAGAATTTTATGTACCACCCAAGTCCACATTATCAATTGAGAAAATATAACTAACGACTATCGGCTTAGAGGTATCGGTCATCTCTGCATTGGACAAAATGTTGTACTATCTGAGATCAACAAGATCACACACTAAATGCTCATGCATATTGACATGGAGCATGTTCATCCTGGTAGGCCATTGGAGTCACATCCGGAGTTCTTCGTGGTTCAAAGCGGACTGGAGGCGTCAGTCAGAAGGACAGGTACAGCCACATCGCCTAAAGCACGTACCATGAATGTCTTTCGCCTACCCTTCACTTTTCAACTTGCTCAACTTGTATGTCCTTTTCCAGACTTTCCCGTATTGGCTTTACCGAACCAAGTTGGCCCCGTTCCAATGCGAGCTCATCATGAGGCACGACACCGAACAACGCGTCCATTGACTCGAGTGACAATCCTTTGGTCTGCGATGATCTGTCAGCACGAATTTGTCTCAAGCAAACGGATATCTTTACCTCAGGGATGAAGAACCATGTAAAGACAAACATGGCGAAGGCGAACGAGCAAAAGATGAGGTAAGTGCCGTAACCATTTGCACTAGGATTGTCAGCAAGGAACCTTCCCAAGCAGATATGAACGTACCCAACGGTGACCAGCATGACCGGTACGGAACGTGCGACAACGAAGTTGAAAAGCCATTGAGTCGCAGCGGCAAGAGCGACAGTCAAAGCTCGCAGTCGAGCAGTGGGGATTTCCGAAGCGTAGATCCAGCTGTAACCAGTCAGCAAAGAATGCGGTCTCCGGGCGTAAACATACCAGACTGGTCCCCATCCGAACTGGAAAAAGGCTGCAAACAAGAAGATGCAGACCAGTGCAACGTACCCAACGGCAGGGACGGGCTCGCCTTTGATGGGGGGAGAGATTCTGATGTATAGCCCAATGAAGAGCATGCAACAACCTTGACCGATGGCGGTCCAGAGGAGCGATTTGCGTCGTCCCAGGGTGTCTGCTAAGAACAGGAGGAAGATGGCACAACTGATGCACTTGACGATGCCGTAAATGCCCGTGGCGAACAGCCCGGTATTGTGACCTTGGACTCCGATATTCTGAAATATAAGCGGCGCGTAATTGTTGATGGCGTTCGTTCCGGTCATTTGTTGACAGATCATCAACACGACGACCAAGATAGCCCTTCGGCGGTTTCCGGGTATCAACCACATCTCCCTCATGAGGTCTTTGAAGCCGGCTCCGCGCATCAGGGCGCGCTCGTTCTCAAGCTGGGTTACCATCTCGCCAAACTCGGCCTCGACATATTCGTGAGTAGCGGGTAACATGCGGACTTTGGCCAGAATGGCCTTTGCTTCTTCCCAGCGGTCCTGCTTCGCCAACCATCGGGGAGACTCGTTGCACAAGAACATACACACCAGGAGGAGGACAGCAGGGATACCCTGGACAGCCAGTGGTACAACCCAGGAGCTATCCCCAGGCAAATGCAGGCTTGAACCGTAATTGATCCAATACGCCAACATGCCCCCAAGGACGATGAAGAACTGATAGGTGCCAGTGAGAAGACCACGAATGGCTCGCGGGACGTTCTCGGAAGTGTACAATGGTGTGACAACGGAGCAGACGCCAACCCCGAGGCCTGCGATGAACCTGCCGACGTACAGAGCTGCCAAGTGCCCCCACGCATTGAACTGGAGGAGTACACCGACCAGGACAACGGTACCTGCGACAAGTAGTGATCTTCTGCGCCCGATCCTGTCGGCCATGAAACCGGCAATGATGGCTCCAGCGAAACAACCTGCTTGGAGCGTTGAGACAATGTTGGCTTGTAGGTTGGCGAGCGCGGCCTTGCTTCCAGCACCGTCCAGGCCGAATCGAGCGAGGAAGGCTGGTAAGACGACAACTCCAGAGATGATGGAGCTGTCCATCCCAAACAACATAGCACCAAATCCGGACTGCGAGCCAGTTAGATTATGTCGAAGTCAGGAAACAGCAGGTGACCTCACACTCATTGCAAGGAAAAGTGCCCTCCAGCCATAGATCTCGGGAGGATCCTGTGCCATGGCATCATTGTGGACGATCCGCTTGAAGAAGCGGTAGCCCGCGTCTCCTCTCGCCATGATTAACGATGGTAGGTCGGTTGCAGATCGACTGTCAGCAGGAGCAACACGGCGGGCAGAGGACAAGAGAGATGCGACCTCCATTATATGTCCGTCCCTCAGGTGTAATGTCACCTTGCTCGAGTTCAGGCTAAAGGCCAGAGCAGGGGTACCTAGACCCAATCTGCCATTGGTGTGGAAGAATATGCAGTAACTTGGCTGTCAACGGATGGATTCCATGCATGAGATCTGCGGGGAGCCGTGTCGAGGCTAGGAGAGATTGGGTTCGGCATCCATGCTTTGGTCGTCAGGTAAGGCTGTGAAGTCCGGCGAACCCAGTCAGAATGCGGTTCTGGGGTAGCATAACCCGGGGCCATGGGGAAGTAGACTGGGGAAAGTTGACTCCATCCACCGGGGTTCCTCTGGATATGGAAGCTGATCAGATGGGGACAATGGTCTTGCAGGACGGCCACACGATCATAAACATGCCAGATCCACCCCGGATCCCTCGACCAAGGCGGAAGGCGGCTCGGGAGACAGTCTCGGCGGGAGACTTGGCTGCTTCATGCTTCATCATCAAGGCTATGCCAGCTTTCTTGCAGTACAGAGTACCTAGGTATAACAAGGACATCTTCAGCATTTGTCCGGTGGAAGCACTTACCAGTTGAAGTGCTTTTGCAAGCCCCATCGCCCTGCGAAGAGCTCGATCGTCCAGAGTAGGTAGTGCAATACCAAGCCGGCTAAACCGAAGCCGCTCCTAGCCAGGACAAGTTTGCCAATGTTGCCAACACAGCCCGTCCGCTCTCCCAGCCAATCAAAGTCCCAACAGGGCGACCTCCCGCCCCGACAAGAGTTGGCCCGACGCCTTTTCGTGATTCAATGGACGGGAAAGTCTATGAACCAAGAAAAGCCAAGAAATGTACACTAGGCTTCTAGAACAGATCCAGCCAACGATCGGGAGTTTCGTATACGGGGAAAGCTGGTCGTATTTTGCGTGGCGCTGGCTGACTGTCCGCCTCACAACAGGGAATATGCATTCAAGATGAGGGGATTCCCATGTCCCATCAACTCGATAACATGCGCTCTGGTGGCTTGGCTTCGGTGAGATCTCCCGCGGGGAAGCAATACCTTGTCCATATAGTCGGGGTTGAAGAGCAAGTTTCGGAGGCGCCTGTTGCGTCTTAATCAAATAGGCCCTGATCCTCCTTCCAAGGAACCCGCCGAAGAGTGAGAGAAAGGCGCAACAAATCGAGCCCACACCACATACTGGAACGCAAATGCAGGAATTTCCACAAGCCGTGGACTCGTCACCCGAGATGATTGGGAGCAGAAATGCTATGCCAGAAACCTGGGCAGCCGGTGAGAGAAGATTCTAGGAGCATGAAGCTGCTTGTCTAAGGAACTTCATGTGTCAACTTCACGTGCTCATGTAGAGCGATTGGTGTGGTTTCTTTCGATAAGGCGTGACGAGGCGGTACCCAGACCGTCGACGCGTGTGTGCGGCGCAAAGAGTGCGGAGAGCCCAGGTCCTGGTACCATTGACTGGCTTGAGGCAACATGACAGCTGTAAGGAGAAGACCAGCTTCAATCGCCCCGAGTGGCTGCAGAGTATCAGTAACCAGGCGAAAACGAAGATTGAGGCACCCGTGAAAAAATCCGATACGACATATCATCTAAAGACTGCCGTCCAAGAACTGTTCCATCAGAAGGGTTTGCAGGCAGAACAATATATTCAGCGAACATGATCACAGGTCGGTGTCATCCACTTCACAGCGTCCTCTTTCTGGTACCTCCACCGCAGAACTGCTGCAACTTGATGTGTTAGGCGGCGTAGAAGAGGGACTACTGTGTAGAGTTGTTGCGAAGTAATGGTTGTCAAAGGGCAAAGTACCAGATGCATGGAAGCGACTACTGTAAAACGCTGGTGCGGAGATAATACAATGATTTCGGCCTTAAGAGAGACTGAGCAGCAATCCAAAGAGCGCAGTCAGACAACATGGATAATCAGGCGTCTGCCGCGATGTGGCTTGGCACGCGCATTCGAAAAGTCGAGGTGTGATGCCCCCGTCGGCTCCGATATTGCCAGACCATTGGTGACAGCGCAGGCGTGCACTGGAATCGGCGTACTATTGGGATAAATATTGCTCCGATTGATCCAGGCATCCTAGCAGAATTCGACACCCAGTCGAAGACTCGTCAGCCGCAGGTGTCGAGCAAGATCTTGCAAATGATGTCACCGGCGCCGAGTCGCTCTCACTGCAGGGACGGCGGGCGCTTACACATCCGCCTCAGGATACTTCCCAGTTCGACATATCTATAAGGACCATTTCCAAAGCTCTAGTATTCCTACCGGTGTCACTCGTCACCTGTCGCAAAGATGGGATCATTGATCTGGGAGCGATTGCGCCAAAGGCTATGGAGGACAATCCATCCTCGCCCGACATGGAGGTACATCCTTTGTTGCGGCATCGCCACGTTCTTGGTCATCCGTACTCTATTTTCGTCGTCGCCATTGCTCTCGTCAAACCTGCCCGCATACACGGGCACGTATGGTGTTGGCACGATTGACGTGGAGGTCCCGGTCGAGACTCGATCGATCAACAACGCAACCTTCAAGGATGGCGGTCATCCGGCTTTCCAGGTGAGTACGAGGTGACCACAAGAGAACGTTCTGACACTCGTAGCTCGAGACGGTTCTGTTCACTCTGTACTACCCTACGAGAAAAGGCGCTATCTCTTCAAAACCGCATCATCTTTGGGTGCCAAAGCCGCGTGCCATCGTTGGCGAAGGTTACGCTCGATTCGCCCACATTAGCAATTTCGCCACCAACTGGCTCATAACGTTCGGTTTATGGGGCTTGGTGGGCAGTGCAAAGATTCCCGCACAAGTCGACGTTCCTCTGCATGATTCTGCGGTTATCGTGCAGTCGCCCGGGTTCGAGAATGATCTCCTGACGGTCGACGAGGGATTCCCGGTCATGGTGTTCTCCCATGGCATGGCCAGCTCCCGGACTCAGTACACCCAGTACGCGGGAGAGCTTGCAAGTCGAGGTTTTGTTGTCGCTGCCATTGAACATCGAGATGGCAGCGGACCGGGCACTCAGATCATCAGACACGGCAAGCCGCATCGGACGCTGCTGCATTTTGATGTCCGACATTTGACGGCTGATTCCGGCCTCGATGGCGACGCATTCAAGAAGGCTCAGCTTGATTTTCGACAAGCAGAAGTCGAAGAAACTGTTGGCGTCCTGAAGCAGATCAACTATGGCGCCGGTGGCAAGATTTTCGAAACCAACTCCCGACACGAAGGCCAGCATCTACACCAATGGCAAGGACGACTTGCCATCAAGAATGCCACAGTTGGTGGGCACTCGTTCGGAGCCACGCTAGCAGTAGGTCCGTTTGGTCTGCCGCCTGATACCGCTGACGCTCCTTAGCTGCAAACTCTGAGGAACGGGCCGTCAGAGCATCTCCCATTCCAGGGCGCGGTAGTGCTTGATCCGTAAGTCCGGAGCTTGGTGAAGTCGTGACTGTAGCTAATAGCTTCAGGGGCAAACAAAGTGGTCCTCTCAATCATGATGTCCGTGTCCCGACTTTGATTCTTCACTCGAATTCCTGGTCGAGTCGACGTTCGATCTTCTTCGGGCGAGCGCACTTTGACGTTGTCAAGGACGTCGTCCGAGGCGTGTTGAAACGAGGCAAAGACGCGTGGTTCATGACTTCTTGTAGGTACTTCTCTCTATTGTCCACGGATTACTGATCATCTGCAGTGGGCACCTCTCACCCATCCGTCACCGACGCGCCGCTGATCGAGCCCTGGCTGCTGAGCTTCACGACCGGCGCCACGATTGACGTGCACGAAGGTGTTAATCAATATGTCAAAGTCACCCAGAGGTTCTTGCAGTACCAAACCACCGGTAGAAAGGAAGGCATTCTGTCGGAATGCGTTACTCATCCTCAGTACTGGGTCGAGGATGAGGGCAGGCCAGACAGCGGTGAGCTCCCAGAGACGTTCCAGAAGTACTGGCAAATCCATGTTGCGCCCTGTGGTCCAGAGGATGGGGAGGAATAGCGTGAGAAAATTCGGCGCCGATTGTAAACTGCAGAGCATTGAAAGTCACGGTCGGGTAAACAAGTGGAACCATCGATAGGATGTATTTCCCCCCTGTTGAATGTGGTATGATGCCCACAATGCGGACATGGCGACCTATAGATTGCAGTGGCCGGTCATTCTGCAACGACCGATCAAAGTGCATGTTCAACAGCGTCGTCAAGCCGTCGCCGTACCACCGAAGGGCGATCAACCTTCGGAGAGAAAAGCCGAAACAGCGGGATAACTGAGGAGTGTACGGAGTATTGGCACGCCTAATCCCGCCAAGCGACGGCTCATCTCATTCGATTCGCTCCACGCAGACCTGCCGATGGCATGAAGCACGCTGTCGCCCCTCTGGATGAAATTGCAACTCGGCCCCCTATTTTCCATCTTGTTGCTGTCCGAGTTTCATCGTACTGTTTATGCCCGGCGTCCCGACATGTGGCGCGATGCGCTGGTCTGCGAAAGTGGATGGTAGAATAAAAGAAACGCTTGCTTCAAGGGTCTCGATGCCACCCAGCCGTTCTTTTGTAGGTGAGGTTATTTCTTCATCCTTTTCATGCGCGGCATTTCGGGGATTTTGTGTACACTCGGTCGCTGTGTTGTCACGTTGTCATGATGTTGACCTTCCTGGTCTTCTTTGCTACCTGGGTGTCGCGGTCGCATTGCCTGGAAGTGACAAACACATCCTTGTGTGCTGACGCGTGTAATGGCCCTTCATTGACCTACAGCTCGGACCTGAGCTGCAGCGACGACGAGTACTGGAATACGGCAGATGGCGTGCTATTTCGCAGCTGCCTTGATTGCGAGAGTACGAGTTCTGCGGAAAGCGGCAACACCAATACACCACAGAACAATGACATTTACTGGTTCCTATGTGAGGAGGGCACTCCCAAATACCTGGCAAGAGCTGACCGAACAGTCAACATGAAATATACCCTGCAGTTCTGTATGTTCCAGGGCAACGGAAGCACGCCAAATCTCCCGCAATGCGAAGCCGATTGTGCTGGATTGTATCCAGTACTTCAAACGTCGTGGTTCTCCCCAGAACCTGCAGAACAGTACGCATATTGTTCGATCAACGATACTGCGTTCCCAAAATATGCGAGTACCTGCGCTTCGTGTCTGCTGTCGGATGAAGGGTCGGTTGTGCTTGGGAATTGTAAGGCCTTTCCATCATGTAGGAACTGGAGCTGACAGGACAGTCCTCAACACTATGCAAGCTGCATGCGACAACCAACCTGATGCGAGCTTGGGAGAAACAATACCCCTTCAACGAGCATTATTCGATACTGCCACAGTCGGCACTGCGACGTCTACCTCGACAGCGGCCTCGAGCACAATCTCTGCCACGACGTCAAGTGCAAGCTCTGGCAGCGCGACAACTGGCACTGTATCGACTGCGTCCAGCTCCGCTGCAACCCTGCCACCTGCAGCGTCCTCCGATCCCATCAGCACTGGTGCTTCTGCGCAAGAAACCTCACAAAGTAGCTCTCCCGGCATTGCGCCCGGGGCAGCCGCGGCTATTGGAATCGGCTGTGGACTGGGCGCCATCGCACTGGCTGCTGGGCTGGGCTGGTGCATTCTGAATCGGAGGCGGCGTGTCCGTCGCGGACTGTCCCCTGCCAACACGTTCCAATACCAGGAGTCAAAGTCAGCACTGCTCAGTGTTTCGCCTCCTCAGCCAGTTCCACTTTACGCGCAACAACTGGCAAGTCGAGAACTGCATGAAATGGACGGTAAACAGAGCAAGACTTGGACGAGTGAGCTGGATGGACGACCTGTACATTGATTTCTCACAATTTGACACTCTTGACCACATTTGTCTTGATGCCCGTCGCTTCGCCACCGTACCCTCCTCTGCCCTCGCCGCCCTTGTAGACAGGCCTCATCGAACTCAATTTCTTCATCTTCTCGTCAAACTTCTTCCTCTTCTTGACGCGAGGATTGCGGACGTCCTTCTTCCTCTTCGGTTGCAGGCCTTTGTTCTTCTCGATCGCGTAGGTGATCTTTCTCTTACCGTCCGGTCCAACTTGTTCTTGTTCGTAGACTTGCGCGCCATGTCTAGCGGCCTCGGCGTATGCTTCTGCTCTAGCTTGCTTGCCCACCTTCTTTTGCTTCGAGTTCGACACCAGCATATCATAGTACTCGTTGGCTTCATCGTTGATCTCATTGCCACGGTCCGAGCCTTCATCGTCAGTGCCAAGAGCCTCGTCGTTGTTGGCATTGGATCGTGCCCTCTGCTCAGCTTCGCGCATCAATCGCTCTTGCTTGTCTCGTATGCGTTCTTTGTATGGCACATCATCGTCGCCGCCCGCCTGTCTTGATGCTGCCCCTCGCTTGTTTGCCTTCTGCACGATCTGAGAAGTGTAGAATCGTAGACTCTTCTTCCGCCGAGCCTTCTCTTCGGCTTCTTCGTGGGTTAGAGGTGCTTCGTCGCCAAAATCCGATTCGGCCTCTGTTGGTTTCTTCAGTGACGCGTCGAGCAGTTTTTGCAGGTCGTTCTGCTTCCCTTTCTTTTCCCTCCTTCGTTTGGTACTTGCAGTCTGAGGTTCTGGTGATGCCTGGTCGGGCGGTGTTAAACTGCGCTTCTTGACCTTCTTTGCCCTTTTCGTCTTCTTCTCGGGTGTCGGCTGTGCCTTCTCCATTGGCTCGGGTACCTTGTCTTTGGTGCGTCTTTCCTCCATCTGGACATCCGTCGATCGCAAGGATTCCACTTCCTGCCACAGCTGCCGACAACGAACGAGGTTGGCCATGACCGGATGCTGACGTAGCTCTCCCGGAGGCAGTGCCAAGCCGTTCTTGGTAGACGTGAGGAGCGAAAGATACATCGCAACTGACCCCAGGTACGCAGACAAGGCTCGGAATTTGACAGTAGGACCAGGGCCATTCCCTGGCTGTTGCGATTCCGCCTCTTTCTTGAGTAACTGGTATGTAGATTGCAACTCCAGGACGTCTTTCGACAAAGGTTCGAATTCAGGGTATCTTGACTTGAGGATATTCACTCGTTCGTCATCGGTCGCACTGTCCGGTACTTGCAGTTCAGGTAGTCGCTCGACGGTCGGCCTCTTGTCAGTCTGGCTGTCATCCGCCCAGGCGCTTTCATCAAACCCGAAATCCGCTTCAGTCATAGCCTTGAGTTGTTTCTCCTGCAGTCTTCGAGCTTCTTGTTCCTCCTCCAGCGCATCCGCTTCAGTCTCGATAACATCAGCGTTGTAGTAGTCTGCCTTCGATGTTCCCCAGTAAGTGTCGTCTTCTTCTTCCTCCTCACCCTCAACGGCGTCGTGTGCTTCATCCTCATCCTCAGATTCCTGGTCGTGATCCAGATATACTTCCTCGTCGGATGGCTGTAGAATTCGCTCTTGCTCTTCTAGTCTTCTCCTCCGCTTTGCAGCAGGCTCCTCGTCCAGCATGACTTTGTCTCGTCCCGCGAAGAAGTCATCTTCGGAGTCGTTGAAAGTTTCTTCGGGATCGAATCGGTCAACATCGTGCGGTCGTGCAGCCGCTGTGGTCGCCCGTGGGGCTTTCCTTTTCTTCGCCATTTACGGGTGCCCAAAATGTTATATCCCGGGATAACAGTGAAGCCAGAGCGACTCGACGCGATCCGCAGATGGAAGTCGAAACTTTTTTGGGGGGCCCGGACTTGGCGTACGCAACGATGCTTCTGCCGGAAGAACCGTTCTCCAGTTCGGCAAGAGCTCGCCCGGCCTACCCACTGCGTGCCACTGCCATCTCCAGGAATTACTTTTTGTCTTTACCCCTGGCATGCCATGTTTAGGCCACCCGAATACCTGCAGATGCGATTGGAGGACCAAATAGGGGAATACAATATCAACACCAAGCAACGAATTGACAATCTACCTCGCGCTGTTGGACCATGCCCTGGTCCTCAGAATACATCCTCGCTGCCACAGTGCTCGTCATCTCCCTCCCGATCGTCTACAACATGGTCTTCTCCTCGCGCAATAAATTCCCCGTTGAGGGTCTCACCGCGGTCGTGACCGGAGGCTCGCAAGGTCTCGGGCTCGCAATTGCGCAAGAACTGTCGTCCCGGGGTGCAAACGTGGTCGTCGTCGCGCGGGACACAGCGAAGCTGGAGGGCGCGGTCAAGGCTCTTCAAGCGCGCGCAAAACACCCGCAACAACGGTTTACATTTCTATCCTACGACCTCCGCCTGGCCGAGTCCGCCCCGAAGATACTACAAGAGGTGAAAGCATGGAACAACGGCGAGGCGCCGGACCTGATATTCTGCTGTGCGGGACACTGTTACCCGTCATTCTTTGCGGATGCGCCGGTCGACCAACTCAAGGATCAGATGGATACGGTCTACTGGAGCTGCGCGTGGATGGCACACGCGGCCATCAACATGTGGAAGACACCGTCGAGCTCTGAGCAGAAGACCTCCCTGCCCAGGCCGACGAGACATATCGTCTTCACTTGCTCCGTGCTCGCTTTCTTCCCCGTGGCGGGTTACTCGCCTTACTCGCCGTGTAAGGCCGCCATGCGGGCACTGGCAGACGCATTGAATCAAGAGGTCGAAGTCTACAACGGCGCACGACAGAATCCTTCATCTGGGCCTGTCCCCGATGCAGATATGAAAGTGCACATCCTCTTTCCCGTGGGCATCATCTCGCCTGGTCTAGAAAATGAGAACAAAATCAAACCCTCATTGACCCTTCAACTCGAGAAGGACGATAGACCGCAAGACCCCGAAGAAATCGCAAAGATTGCCCTCCGCCGACTCGGTGCTGGCGATTTCATGATTAGCACCCTGTTCTTGGGTCATTTGATGCGAGGGACAGGCATGAGTGGGAGCGTGAGAATGAATTTCTCGGATATATTCTGGAACTGGCTCGGATCGATCGTCATCCTGTTTGTCGCGCCAGATTTTGTTGCGAAGTGCAGAAATTGGGGCAAAGAAAAGGGGATGAACTCAACCTCCCATAGCAGCTGAGATCAACCCGACAAGCTAGTCTCCGTAACTGTCACGACCTCAAGCATGGCGTCCAAGGTAACCACCAACTCATCTTTGGTCCAGGCTCGATCAAAATCCTGGTCCACGAATTTCTGAGCCGAGTTTTGCGCGTGCCGCAGCTCCTCCTTCGCTTCTTTTGTCAGGGCCGAACAGACAGCGACCAAATCCTCACCTTGCTGAGCCAATCGAGCCAACTCAACAGCTCGCTCCACGACTTCAACGGGCACGCCATTCAGAGCCGCACATTGTGTCCCGTAGGACAAGTCACTTCTGCCGGCACAAAGGTTGTACAAATATGTTATCTCGCTGCTGTGCTCCTCGGCAGTTTGTTCGTCCCGTGCATCGACTTGCACCTCCATATGCGCCAAGGCAAGGTTTGGGGCATGATCGAAAAGACCCAAGTCGAAAATTTCATGGAAGTGGGTGGCCACCAGTGTCTTCGGGGAGTTGGCTCCCAACGATAGCAAATGTCGGAATACTCCTGCTGCAAGTCCAGCGCCATCACAAGTGTCAGTCCCCTTGCCGAACTCATCAACTACCACCAAACTCCTTCTTGTGCACGAGTTCAAGGCTATGGCAATCTGCTGCATGTCGATCATGAAAGCAGAGTGAACCTTGGACACGGTTTCCCGGGTTGTAATGCGAGTAAGTATTTTGTCGGTGATGCCGATGGTTGCGACGTCGGCTGGCAGGAAGGACCCTATCTGAGCCATGTAGACTGCCAAAGCGACCTGCTTCTGGTAGACAGACTTGCCCGAGAAATTGGGCCCAGTCAACAAAAGCATATTTGGTCCTTGTGTATCATCTTGGCCATTGACGCCAATAAGATAGGTGTCATTCGCAACAAAGGAGGGTACCGCCATCTCTTGCAGCAGGTGTCTCCCTCCTTTGATGTTGATCACGTTCTCCTCTGTGATCTTTGGCCGAGTCAACGTGCAATGGTACGCGATGTGAGAAAAGGCCAATAGGGAGTCCAGCTCACCGCAGAGGTCAGACGCGGCGATGAGAAGCTCTTCGTCTAGAAGAATGTTCTGTGCCAGGTCGTGGGCGATCTCCACCTCCATCTCACAAATTGCGGAGTATATGTCTCCCACTTCATGATCTAGACCGTACATCGTTCCGTCTTTGAAGTAAGCTTGAGCTGAGGTGGTGAACATCAGCTGCCACCCTAGATCTCGCCCACTGCAGACGGCTTGATCACTGGCATTGTCTCTTGGAATCGTGATATGGAAGCCCACGTGCGGAAGGTAGATGACATTGATCCCCAAGTTGAGTTCGGGCGGGATTTGTGTCTGGATTTCACGGGCCTTGTCAACCAATAAATCTTCCATGCTGTGGTAAAACCCCTTGAGTTCATCAAGTTCGTGATTTACGCCTCGGTTGACCACGGTGCGGTGCTGGTCCATGGACGATTTGCGGTCCACGATACCGTCCACCATCCGTCCGATCCTCCTCAAGCTGTTACGATCGAGGACATCAGCAGCTCTGACACACAACGGAAGGCGTTCTGCCCGGAGTGCCTCGCCTAGGGTTTCGGCAATGTCGTAGGCATGATAGCAAAAGTCGAGCAGTGATTCCTAGACACCACTATTGAATGCACTTTGCTTTGCTTTGCCACTGTCAATGCCCTTGTGGAGGAGGGTGATTGTATTCCGCATGTTCTTGACCCGACCGAGGCTCTTGCTGAGCTTGTCACGCACCGCCTGATTTTCCGGACGGACAAATACTGAGATGAAGTCGAGGCGAGAGTTGATATATTCGATATCCAGCGAGGGTCTCAAAAAGGCTTGCCGCAGCTGAACTCTCCCTTGCGGGCTTTTCGCATGTTGAAGGAATAAGTCACAGACCGAATGAGTTCCCTTTGCTCCAGGAGGGCCAGGTCCTTCGTTGAACCCATTTGGATGTGATTCTGGTTGAATGATCTGCAATGAGACCAGAGTATCAGTGTTGATAAGCATGGTCGCACGTAGACTGAACATCTCAAGCCTGACAACACGGAATGCCTGGTTGGCGTCAGATTCACCGGGCAGGTAAACTGTGGGTTGTCTTCGTTGCAAGTGGGATATGATTGCACCAGCACAGCCAATGCTGACCTTGTTTTCCACGTCCAGCCATGCTGAAATTTGTATCAGCCTGCCTCTTCTCTTCGTCAGACCAAGCTCCTCAGGGTGCAACTCCTCCTCGTACATCATCGTCGCGCCTGGAATGAGAAGCTCCGTGGCATTGGCTTCGCTGAATGAACAGAGGCCGGCCAATTTGGTCAGAGCAGCATCGTAGTGGAATTCGGGTGTCGGTCGCATCTCAAGCTGGTAAGGCAGAGGAGGCTGACCTCCATCTGTCTGTCATTAGGAAATGGTGATGCACGACGGAATAGTATGCTCACCACCATCAACAAGCGACGTATTGCGGCGAAACCGATCATGGAGACTGTTGGTGATAGCATCTGATCGAGGAGAAAGAATGACTGTGGTCGGCTGAAGATCGAGTTTCACTGGAGAAAGGTGAGCCATGGGCCGACCGCAGTAAGACTGTGTAACTCACATTTCTCAACAATCTCACTTCCGCCACCAATGACTTCTTCCATACACAACAACCGCTCTTCGCCTGCAATAAAGCATGCACAGCCAACCTTCCCTCTCTCTTTGATGTCGATAGCCATGATCACTTGCTCCAGGAAGTCGTCGTCTCGTGGTTGAAAACCGCTCTGGTCGTTCGGCACGAGGCGAATGGAAGAGGTATCTGTGGCATGCCTTATAGAGCTGATATCAGGCGGTGCGGCAGATGGCGTTTGCAAAGGGATTGAATGTTGATACGGCTGATTGCGCTGAAGACCATGTGGTCGACATCCTCCACGGGACTTCGCTCCTCTGCCACGACCGCCCGTGCCACGATATGACCGGGAGCTTGTTCGAGATGATGACATGTCGTGTAAAGTGAGGAAAGTGAGAAGAAACCCGCAGATCAGAAACAAGAGGACAGTCAAGTAAAAGAAGAGGTTGCCGGATACTCACTCTATCTTGACTTGAGCCTCAGACTTGGCAGTCAGGCGCTCGACATCGCCACGCAATCAGTCTGTTCGCATTCAGTACACCATTTTTGTACAACTCTATTTCATCATGTGCATCTCTATCATCATATCTTCGTGATCAACCTTGCACTTCATCTTCTTGCCATCCCCCCACAATCCTTCCGCCTTCGGCTCTCTTGACCCTACACCACATGCCAACTTCTTTGTCCGTGATGAATTGCCACAGCACCAGTGGCCAGCTTCTATGACATGGCAGCGGTTCATAGAATTCCCTCGCGATCTCGAAGACCTGGGGCAGCCGGGTCCACGGGATAGCCGGGAAATCGTGATGCTCATTGTGATATCCCACATTGTAGGTGAGTACATTCAATGGGCCGTAGTAGGAAAAGGTTTCTGGCACGGGCACATCCTTCAGCATCTTCCCTGGCTCGAAGCTCGATTTTGCCAAAACATAGTGCTCGGAGATGAAATGGGCGGCGCATGGATGAAGCGATCCGGCCAGGAAGGAGCTGAGCAGAAGATAGGTCATAGCTTTCCAGCCGAGCCATCGGAGAATGACAAGGTCAAAGATTATCTGAGCCGCAATATTTGAGTAGTGAATCGGTCCAAATGGTATCTTGTAAACCATCATCGGTCGAATTGCATAGAATATGAGTTGAAATGTGCAGAAGAATGCCTTTCCTGCGACCGAGTCGAGGAGTATCGCTTCCAAAGCCGTAGGCAAATCGGTATCCACGCCATCCACACCTAGAGACTTGTGGTGAGTCAAATGATACTGTCGGAAGCCTGCTGAGTATGGAATTCCAATGGGGAGATTTGCGAATATGGCGAAGAGCCGGTTGTAGATGCCTGTCCGGAAGGCTAGATTGTGGCTGATTTCATGAATGGCAAGGAAGAGGTTCTGGTTTGCTGTCGCTCCAATGATATATGCTGTAAGGAAAAAAGTCCATGAGAAGAAAGGAGTATTTCTGAGGAGATATGCACATATGATCTGTAGCGAGACGACGAACGCCACCACGTATTTTGTGAGCGGTTCGGGGCCACATAGCTGGAGTATCTCCTTATGTGCCTTGATGATTGCTTGCCGACGTGTTCGATGAGGCTCCTCCGTGTATGTCCAGAAGAACTTGTCTTGCAGGCTCTGCCCCAGCTCTTTGCTCGTACCGTTGCCCTCTTTGCTGGCCGCTTTTGCCTTTTGTGTCCGCCGAGTCCTGCGAGTGGACTGCGTCTCAGTGACGGTGGACATGCTGACTCGATGTATCGCAAGTGCTGGCAGATCAAGGGAGAGTGAGAAGGGGTGAAACGGCCATGATCGTCGAATGTCGTACTTTGTACAGAGTACAAATGCGATCGTTCAAACTTTGGCGGCGAGTTAGGGAGCGGTCTCGGAGAATTGTTATTACTTCGGTTGTACCCAAAAGGGTTAGTCCCTGAGCCAGATCGGTCGCAGCTTTCGCCTTGCAAACATTCGTTCTACTTGACTGCAAAGGCTTTTCTGGGCTACGGTAGCTTGATACATATCGAGCCAGCTCGAGGCGCAATGACTTTAGCTCCACCGATAATGTTTCCAGATGCCGCCGGCTCTATTGGTGAAGGGCAAGTCGGCAGAAACGCCGCAGAGAAGTCTGGATGTCGTGCTCAGAAAGATGAGATTTCGAAAACACAGTAGCCCGTAGAGCATAGCTATCGAGCCTACCTATCGGAGGACATCAACTAGGTGCAAGGCTTCCTCCAGAAGAGGGGGTTTCAATTGGCGTAACACTGCAGAAAGCACGAGCTGTGAGGTCCCTGGCCGGAGTACTTGAGTATACGGTCAGCCAAGGACGATCTCAGAGAGCTCACTTCTAAGTCATACTGCGCCATTAATTGTTGGTACATATCCCCTGTCTATTCTAAAGCTCTTGCTTTCATTCTTGAGTAAACCTTATCTCAAGACACGCAAGCAAAAAGAGATTCTATCACATGGAATGTCTCCGCAGAAGCTCTGCAAAATGTCGTCTGAGTCTTTTGCAGCCAGCATAATCTAATCCGAAATGCTGGAGTCTAAGCTGTGCCTGCCATGCTGAATCCGCCCATGCGAAAAGACGTGAAAGTGCCTCGAATCGTACCCTCGACAGAAGTCATGCAAAACTTATCACCGTTTCGCGATTATTTCGAGATCTCGACACCACCGACGGCGCCAATGACACGCTGCGAGCAGTTAGGATTGATGGTTCAGCGGGTGGGATTGTGTATGCTCACCTTGATGTCGCCATAGATGGCGAACTGACCAGCAGTCAAAGTACCAACCATGAAGAGACGAGCACCGATACCAGCATAGCTGCCACGGAGACCAAGTTCCTTGCCGATTTTGAAAAGTCTGCTGGTTGTGCTCTCGCCTGGAAGACCCTTGGTCTTGTTGATCTTGGAAAGCATGGTATCGGCGGGCTGGGAGACGAGTGCTGCAGCGAAACCGGCGATCAGACCAGAGCCCAGGTTGACAACCGTCTTGGTGCCGTCCGAAGCAGTGTTCTTGTCCATTGTTTGCCAGACGGCCTCAGCAACTTTCTCGTAGACGACGAACTTGGCCATGGTGTAAGGAACCTGCTTGAACAAGATAGGACCGAAGCCGCTGTAGAAGGCGCCAACTCCTTCATTCCTCAAGATCTTGCTGAAGCCACCAACCAGACCAGAAGCAAAGGTCGGCTCAGAGACCAATCGGATGCGGGTGGCTTCCAGGGGGCAGAGAGCAATGTCGGCGAAGAATTCGGCAAGGGCAGACGAGGCCAGGTAGACGGCGGTTCTGTTATTAGAGGCGGTCTCGTACCCCAGGAGGTTGATCGATTGCTGCTTGAAGAATTCGTATCCCCCGAACTTGAAGGCGCCCTGAAGGAAGTAACCTGCAAAAGTCGGGCCAACACCTGTCAAGAGAGCGCCAGCGCCTTCTTTCGCGATCACTTGTCGGAATCCACCGATCAATCCACGGTTGTATGTGACTGGGTCGAGTTGAATTCTTGTCTTGACTCTGGGTGAAGTGTCAGCGTCTAATCGGGGCGTCGAGGAGCTCGAGACTTACACGTCGACAGGAGTGAGGCCACCGTGAGTGACTGAGCAGCAGACTGCGCCAGCGAAGGCCTGGGAGAGTCAGTGTTTGGTCCTCAAACATTGGTAGACAGACTTACGAATCTGCTGTAGAGGTCAATGCCGGAAAGAGCTTTGGGTGCAGGAGCTGTTCCGGGCAGAGCTGCACCGACCTGTTGCGACGCGGCAGCCATTGTGTATGAGCGGAGAGGAAGAATCTAGAATGGACTGAAATCTAGATGGACGCGATGCAGACGCGAGGAACAGTCAAGAGATGGATGATCTGGCGACGATGCCTGAACGTTTTCTGAGAATAAAGGGACACGATGTTTTTCTGGGATTGAAGATCGGCGAAAATGAATCGGACGGCAACTAAAAAAAATACCGCAGCATGAACCGATCCTCCGGAAGGCCAATCATACGTTCACGTGGGAGCCACTTGCGGCCGGTGCCTCGCAACCACTTCTCGGCGAGGACAGCTGGAAGCTCCTGCAAGGCTACATAATACATTCTGATAAGTACGAGGCTATTGATGGGCTAACGTGGGGTCCCCTTCAAGTGGAAAGCAACTTGACATGGGTATCATGATACACAATCCTGTCTGTCGACACAATCGGTGCTCTTCTATTACCTCTTAACATCTGTCAGCGCAACCGGCGTTAACAGTGTGATACCAGCCACCTCCGTTGGGTCGGCGCAGAACGACCTCTTCCCAGTTGCAGGTGTGCTTATCCCATGCATCGGGTCTCCTGGAGGGTGATGGGTATAGTGAGAGCGAGAGGCCGTGCCCGCTCGTCTTTCGGGAAGAGTTGGACCTCAAATAAGAATTCATTCAGAAAGTATTAATCTTACAATGCTCGACGCCCCACCTCCCTTCGTCGAGGATCCAATCGACAATCTCACGAAACATGTTCAGCCAAATTTCATTCACTCTTCCACGCATGGAGCATAACAGGAGTGTCGGCCATTATATGCCATATCCACGGCGAATCTTCGTACCGTCAATGTCAACGATTGTGTCAGATGCTGTTACTAGTAGAGGGGGCTCCGACGGGCTTGCCGGTCCATCTGGCGCCTCGGGGGCTTTCGGAGATCCAGGAATGGGTGTAATTGAGACAACTGCGTCTGGAAGTTCTGGCGAGGCATAGGTAGTGTCTCCTAACGACTCGCTCGTCGACGGTGGTACGAGCGGAGAGAGGATGGTGGCGAAGAATGTAGGAGCGGCAGCCACGAGGGGTACAGTCTCTCTTGTAGTGACAGGCCCTTGTGATACTGCTGACGAGAGCTAAAGGCTTGCGGCAGTTGGTGCCCCAGTGCAAATCGTTGAGCTGCTCGTAGGTGGCTCGGGAGGACTGTTGACACGCACCACCGTGGAGGTTGTTCTCGAGGCCTCGAGACTCATGGTCGGTTGGTTTGTGGTTGCTTGCGTGACGAGGTCCGTTGTTGCAACATTTGGGAGTCTATATGGAGTCAGGCTCGATGAGTTCGTCTGCATGGGTCGAGACGTAGAGGGGCTGCGGGTTGCTTCCGCAGTCTCGTTTGTGCTAGATATGCCCTCACCTGTACCACTGCTGGTTAGTGAAGATGCTAACGTGGACAGAGGCGCAAACGCTGTTGTAAACGTCGTATGGACTGTGAATGGAGCACTGCTTCTTGAACCCCATCTGGAGTTGCTGCTCGATGCCGTGGAGGGCGGAGACAGGGTTGTTGTTAGTGGACTGCTGCTCAAGGATAAGGCCATGGTTTCATCGAAGGGTGTTGGAGTGTTCGTCATGCTGCCTCCGATAGGTGCAATGCCGTGCGAGACGGATGACGTAGATGCCACAGAAGGGCTGCCTGATGATGGGTGCGAAGTAGAGCCCATTAGCGGTTGGGTTTGAGACAGGGTCAGAGAAGTGATAGACTGTGAAGAAGCCTGGGTTGTGGCTGTAATGGGCGTGGCGCTTCTTGTAGTTGTCAACGAGAAGCTCGCCTCAGAAGCTTTGGCTGGTGAAAACGTCGCAAACGAAAGTAAGATTAAGCGGGTGCTTTCTCCAATGGATGGCTGGGTTGGAGTGGAATCTGGCGATACGTCGGACCCTACAGTGGACGTACTCCTGGTAATTATTGAGTTGGTGGACGGTGAACCAGACACGGAGGTAGCTGGCTCAGTGAAGGGTTTTGAAGGCGCAGAAGTAGTCGTGGTTGATGCCCTATCGCCACTAGATGTCGGCGTATTGGCGCTTCTTGACGTTTCAGCCAGAGAAATCGAGGTGTCTGTGGTTTTTTCGCGGCTGGGAGCTGATGACGAACTAGGGCTAGATTTCGAGGTTGTTGGGGGTAGTATGTTCATGCGTGTAGTTGTTGCGCCTGCCAGAGAGTCAGCATTCAAGCTAATGGGCATTGGGACTCGAGTCACCAGATGTATTGTATACGTTCAAAGTGATGCTAAGGCAAGTAAATGGTGGCGAACCACCGAAAGTAATGAAGATTTGCCCTTGTTGGTTTGTGCAAAAACTGCCATTGTACATTTGCAGCGACAAAATACCATTGCGAGCGATTATCCATCTCACGGAGTTGGCGGGAATAGTGGTAGTCAGCGATAGAGCGAGGTATGGTTGGCTGAAGTCGGTGGCAACATAGGACAGGCCAGAACGCAAGAGGCCATCAGGATCAATGGAGAATTGAGCTGCTGACTCGCGATCATTCACGAGAACACCGAGTCCGGCCGAGAATGCCACATATTGGAGAGATCGCCCGCGAATCCTTAGTGGGAAGTTTGCGAAGATCAAAAACGCGTCTGTTCCGGCAGCAGCAACGGCTGTGCCCGACGGCGTATTAGTTGCTGGAGCTGAAAGGGCTGAGCTCGAGGTTGTCACACTGGTGACCTGAGAGACGGTGTTGGCCAGAAAAGTCGGTCCGCTGGAGGTGTTCGCGAATTCGGTAGTCGATAAGGTTGTTGGGACAATGGTCGTTGACGAAGACGTAGATGAGGAGCTCGCAGTTAGCCCAATTGAAGTGACAGAGGCAGTAGGAATGAGATGGCTAGAAGTACTAATAGCTGTCACGGAAGAAATGCTCGACATCGTCGAGGCTGGCGGGCCGTTTGGACCAGCACCCAGGCTAAGAGAGCTGCTCTGTATTGTGAATCCAAGAGACGCCGAGCTTGAACTTGTTCCTGATGGTGTCCTTGACAAGCTGTTCGAAGGCGCTGAGGTGGTTAAACTGGTAGAAGTTGGAAAACCCAAAATAGGCCCACCGGTAGAGCCACTGCCGCTCCTAGAGCTTAGAATGTCAGACGCGCTTGTTGATACAGCCAACAAGCCACAAGTTACATCTTCGCGGGAGGTCAAAGACAAGGACGATGCGGTCTCGGTATTTGTTGTTTCGGAAGATGAGCTTGTAGCACTGACCACGGTTGTGGTTGATGGGGGAATAGGGCTGCCAGCAGAGGTGAAGGAACAACTAATCGGCATGGAGGAGGTACTCATTATCAATATTGTACCGCCGCTTGTGGTTGACTCAGGTTCAAGGCCTCCAGTGACGCTCGAGCTTCCGGCCAAAGTCGTGGACGTTTGGATGCTTGCTCTACTCGAGACGCCTGCTGAGCTTGTTGACTCGGCGATAGGGCCGCCAGTTACACTTGAAGAACTAGTTGCACTCAACGTGGACGTGCTCGCGCCACTTGAATTGACGGGACCAGACGCCGAAGTTGATGCTAAAGCGGTGGAAGGGCCAGACGAACTCGACGTTGGAAATGAGTTTGGTCCGGAAGTAGATGTCGACTCACCGCTTGGTGTGCTCGAAGTTGGCACAGGAGATGGACTACCAGTATGGTTTAGGCTGGAAGTCGAGATCGTTGTAAAGCCAGTTATAGGGTTTTTGGAAATGCTCGAACTTGAAAGGGAGGTACCAGAAGCACTTAAAGTTGAACTAGGATTGGGACCATCTGATGCGTTTGAACTGGCCATTGACGGAGATTTGGTAGTGGAGCCTAGGGAGAGAATTGCACTTGGGGTTGATGTCGAGCCGGGATTCGGTCCGCCTGCATTGCTTGAGGTTGTCGAGGTGGTGGTTAAGGTGCTTCTGGCGGATGAGTTCTGGAGGCTCCTTGTGGCAGTGGTTGATGCAGGTACGGAAGTATCACCAGTGGCAGTCGTGGTAGAGAGGCTCGTTGAGGTCAACTTAGTGCCTGTTTGGCCATTGCCTAGACCATATGTTGTACTAGAACGCAGTGTGGATGTCACAATGATCTTGCTTGTCATCTCCCGGTCCTGCGAGTAAGTCCAGCCATAATCAGTGCCGGGGTTACTGGAAGGAGCCTTCGAGCCTGCGCCGGGTCCGTGGAATCCTGGAAGAGCCTGAGAGCCCGTTGGCACCGGGACTGAGCTCGACGTCTTGAGAGGTTGTATGCTGCAAGGCACAGTCCAATAAATGGTCTTGGTGACAGTAACGGTGAAATCGATCACCTTTCGGGGTTTGTGGCATGTACGGGTGACATGGTGGAAGTAAGGACTTGGTGCAACTGTGAACGTCTGAGCTGCGGTATTTAACACCCGACTGGGAGCGGTCATTGCAAATGTGAAGGTGTATGTGCCCGCCGAAGGAGCAGTGAACCTTGTGGAGACAACATTGACAACTGTCGATGATGAGGCAGGAGGAGCCGGCTTAGAAACCCAGGTCTCTGAATAGCCCATACAGTCTACCCCGGCAGGGCCCGACCGGCATTCGAGCACGTTTACGACTTGTGACCGACTTCCATCTCGGCGAACGTTGCAGTCCTGGCAGAGCCCGCTGCCACCGTACCCTGGGATTGCCAGGGGCCCGATCTTGTTATATGGCACCATGTAATCCTTGGCAATGGTAAAAAGAATGGGCGTTGAAACTGGTAAAGAGGTTGTCCCGTTCCAGATGAGCGTCGCCGTGGGAGTGGTCCATTTTGTGGTCGCTGCATGAAATCGAGATACTGTGATTGTCTGTGAAGTGGAGGTGACGGTGGTTGAATGCATCGATGAACCATCCCATGCGGCAGGGATAATGGTGCTAACGAAGGCCCACGTCTGCAGAAGATAGTTGGTGGTACATGATCCTCGGACGCAGGCTGAAGTTGTGGAACATGTAGAGACCGGTTGATACTGCTTGGTAACGATGATTGGGGCTGCAGCTATGCTCGTTGCATTGGGACAAGGAATGATTGTTGTTAAAGGTTGGACAGCAGCAACACCAGCCACCAAGACGCCTGCTGCGAATGGTAGAAACATATTGACGGATAGAAGAATTTTGCGATTGGTAAGGATCGTGGTGCAAAGAGCGGCGGAGGGAAGTCCCCTCGAAAGGAGCGCAATGGATGCCTTGTATGAAAGCAAGGGACGGAGTAAGCAGTTTGGAAACCAACCAGAACAGAACGGCATATATAACGACGCATTGCGGGGTGTCCAGAAGGATGGGTTGCATCAAAACCCTGGTGGAGGTTGCCATATGGGCGACAGGTTGATCAGGAGATGTGTCGGCATGTCATCGGGGACGAGCGGGAAAAGTAGTTGATAGCTGATGAACTCGAGCATCGACGATGAAAGCCCAAGCCTTGATCGCAGGTTTTCGCACATCAACAAGCAGCATATTACAAATGGAGCTAAGTGATCGAGCCAGGAAGCCATCACATCGTCGCTCGCGCCAAAAAGTGTGCGAAGAAACGGGGGACGTCGCGGTAAAGGTCAGCGCTGATAGCTTTGACATGCCTTTGCAATCTCCGACGAGCAGGCGTGCAGTGTGTATCAATGAAGCAGCGGCAAGGCCTGCCCATCGGTCCGCCCAGTTTGACGTCCCCCTGCTTTGAACTTTCATGCCGATCTAATTCATTTGCTGGTTGTCAAGATCGGAGCAGACCACGAAAGACGCAGGCGGAGTCGAGCTTCAAGTGCTTCAATGGCGCTCTATTCTGATGGCAAGACTGACACCCCAGGGAAACGTGGCCGTGCTTTTCGGGTGCAGGAAGACTGTGAAGAGAAGCTTACAAGCCTTTTGGGTTGCGAGCAACGGTGCTCGAGATGTGAAACTGCGAACGTCAGTCCCTCGGACATCTTGCCGTTCAAATCGCTGAACAAGCAAATCAGCAGAACTAGGGTATCTGTGACCAGGAGGATGAGCCCGTAGACTTGACTTGACGGCAGTCCGAGTAACCACCCAACTCTGTCATCGACAATCAACCAGGTGATGTCGTCTCATAGGAGCACTTATCGTTGATGTGGTTCGTCTTCCCTTTGACCCCTGGTTTCCTTTGTGTGTGGTCCGGTCGACCTCGTCCCCCTGGCTGAGGCATCCACAGCGTAGGCCTTGTTAAACTCACGGATCGGTTCAATTGCTTCCAGCCGGCGAGAGGTGCCCTGTTGGATTCTTCGACGCCACCACATTTGGGAGCCGGCTTTGACAGTCTATGGTACGACGGCTATGGAAAGCAAGTTCTAGAGACGTACAATGTCGTCTCTCCCGGAGATTGTACTCTTGGATGCTTCTTCCCGCGTTTTACGTCGAGGTACAAAGCGTGGACAGGGAAACGTTCGTGGACATTGTTTCGAGACTGCAGCAGCCTTACATTGCCGGTCGCTTCAGGAGGTTTGGTGAGTTCCGGATGGATCGTCCGATGCTGTGTAGCCTCGGATATCATCCCGTGTTCCACGGCGAGCTCGTCGTCTCCATTGCATGTTTTTGTTCATGTCTTGGGAATGCCAACCTCAGGGGAAAACGGCCGCGAATCCAGCAAACGAAGCCTGAAGGTGGAATCTATGTTGTCCGCGCACAGATCTGAGGTAGAGTTACATTGAATCAGCAGGAGGAAGTCGAGTTTTGGCCAGCAGCCTTGGTCGGCAGCGCAGTTCCATTTGCAGTACTCTATGGAGCACCAGATTGAGTGAGGTTGAAGTTGGAAGGAACTTAGAGGCGATCCCGGAAGGCCCAACTTGGACATGCCCTAACTAATCCGATTGCTTGCTAGCCTACCCCATATTTGCAGCTTAGCTCGTCGCGTCCATCTCTGAGATCACGTTGAGCACAAATCCAGACCTTTGGGCTATTCTGCCCACAAGCTGCGACGATGGAGTGGTAGGGGAGGCCCAGAGACGTGAGTCTTTGCTCTTGCACAAGTTCAAGGGCTGTGAGTTCTTTGCATTCCATTTCTTCATCATTAGATCCCTATTTCTTTCTGCACTCCAGGCGTGCCGTCGTGCAGAGACCCTTGCTGTGGGATCTCAGTGTTGAAGCTGCGTCTTTCGTGCCTTATTGCTCCTCTCGACGTTCTCTCCGACCGTGCTCCACTATGGCCGACGCCGTTGTGCAACCCTCAGCGGCTCTCAAGACTATGGAGAGGGAGTACAAGAGCAAATCTGTCGAAATGACAATTCTTTTTGAGGTTCCGGTTCTCGCCTGTCAGAGATGATTGACGACAAGCTGACCTTAGCAGAACCTCTTGAAGCTCCTCTCCGAGAAAGAAGCCGAGTGTGAAAACCTCAAGTACGACTTGCAAGATCAGACCGAGTCGAGACGGCATTGGCACAAGAGAGCAGCGGATGCTGAAGGTCGCATCGTATGTTGGTCCCAATTTACAGTTCTGAAGTCGTGCACTGACCATTATTCCAGGCAAGCGTTCAGCACGTCCTTGTCCTCGTCGATGGAAACCAGACATTCTTCAAGCCGGATGTCATTCGGGCTGGCGCCCGAGGCGTAAGAGGAGCAATTGAGACACTGGTTGCGGAAGCCAAAGCGTTCGCTCGGGCGCAACACAAGAATGACCTATCCGACAACCTTTCAGCAATAGTACACATCTTCGTCGATGTTGGAAGCCTCGCAGATGACCTCTCAACTGCCAATTTGTTGCCGGAACCAGACCAGCTGTGGGCTTTCATCCAAGATGCGAGCAAACTTGAGCCAGGTATTACCATTACAGACTGTGGTTCGGGCCACGACGCTGTGGATGCAAAGATGAAGCGTGAGTATTATCCTGGATATCTATGTGATTCCACTAATCGGAGACTAGATTTCTACGAGCTGTACCTGGAAAATTGTCACTGCCGCCATCTTTTCCTCGCACTTGGACGCGAGACCGACTACTATAACGTCCTGTCCACATACGCTGACGATGAGTTCACGAGGTTGAAGACTTCCTTAGTCAAACCGTCTCAAGGATTGCCCGACAAGTACAACCTTCCCTTTGATACTGTCGAATTTTCCTGCTTGGAAAGTGTACGCCGACAGACAATCTCCTTCGAAGATACTGTGCCGAAGGTCAAGGGAACGCCGTCAGCCGTCTCACGTTCCGCTTCTGCCCAAGGTCCGTCTATGCCTCACTTCGAAGGAAATACTCGGGTTACTCCTCGAGATTCCCTGAATGCTATATCACCCGCGTTTATCGCAAGCCCTCCAGCTGGTCCACGAAATCCCCTGGGCAGGCTTGATGCTTATGGTGCAGTGGTGCGCGTAAACGGCACACCTCCTGCCACGTCTGGTCGACCGGCATCCGGCTACGTACAATCACCAGCGCCAGGCTCATCCAGTCCACCAATCGGACAAGCAGCTCCGTCCCCTTTCAACCCTGGTCCGGCCAGTGCGCTGGTCCAGGGTCCGGAAGAAGCTCTGGCTTTTCGCCATGCTCCTCCTGCTGTCATTGCCCATACTTCTTCTGAACCGGCTACGGTGCAAACCCCTGCACCAGTCTCAGAAGATGCTTTCAAAGACTACCGCGACGCCAATAGCAATGTTGACAAGGTGGAAGACGTGAGTTCTGCCGCAGTCGTCAAGCTTGACATCTCTTCACATTCTTCAAGCCAATCCAAAAAATCAGCGGAGCAAAGTTGGGAAAGCGCTACAGCCAACGATTATGCGCCTGCACCCAACCCGGCTCCATGGACAGTGGACGAGCCTATGGCTCAGCCGGCATCGCACGAGTTTAACGAGCCGCAGACATACTCGAGGAAGAACAACAATAACTTCACTCGGCGACACCCTAGAGAAGGGGGTGGCGGCGGCGGCGGTGGTGGTGGCGGAAGGCAAGACCGTTCGAATGGAGGTCAGCAGTCTGGTAGACGTCTTCCGAGACAATTCAAGGGATCATATGATGATATGATGTCTACGCAAGGTTCGTCAGCATCACCGAGACCAGCAACTACGTCGATGTCATCATCGGCCATGTCCAAGTCGACTGACTTTGCCAACTCTTTTACACGACAGGACGTAACAAAACCTGAGCCCAACCCTCAGGCACGCCCCGTCTACGCCCCGATTGCGCTGAACGCACTGAACCAGCGAATTGATCTCAAGCTGCCCAGACCAGCCCCAGCTGATGAGGAAGCTTTCAAACTGCGAACGAATAACCGACACTTGTGCAATGAACACCATATGCGGGGACAATGCAGCAATATCAAATGCACCTACGACAACGAAGAAATATCGGACGGCGTGTATTTGGCATTGAGGAACACAGCTCGCCTAACCCCCTGCAACCAGGGATCCGGATGTCGTCAACACGATTGCTACTTGGGGCACCACTGTCCGAACGTCTCGAGAGTTTCGGCTTGTGGAAGACCAAGCTGTCCTTTCAAGTCCAAGAATTTGCATGATATTCTGGATTTGAAGATCGTAGAAATGATTGAGCCGTCGAAGAAGGAAGAACTACCTATTGAAGAGTTGATTTGATCCTAGAGGACCAAACTCAACGAGGACAAGAGATGATAGAGTGGGAGTGAGGGACGCCCTTGGCAAGCATTTATCATGCTAGGTGCTGTACGCATAACTGCGACGCATCGGTACCGCCGTTTGAGCTCTATGCGGACGAATAATCGGACAGAAGGACCCAGAATGGGCTTCCGAAATCCTGGCCTTCGTCTTGTACCATAGTGCTGCATCTCGGAGAAGCCAGCTGCTAGAAGCGAGGTCTCCCAAGTTTTAGATGAAAGCTTGCGCTTTCACTTTCAATGTCTTGCTCCCGAGTGACCTGTTCTCGAGACTGAAGAATTACGGAATGCGCACAGGTCAACCAGCATCCGAGCCTTCAAAAGCCTGAAACCCCAATGTCAGCCTAAACGTAACCCGAACTTCAAGTAGCTGACAAACCTGGTAATTTTCTTGCTATGGTGCCGACCATGTGTCGGCGTGCTCAACATCATCGTGCAAGGGCGACCAAGCTGCGTTGAGGTCGTTTTCCACCATGTTTGAATTTTGAGGCCATAGGTGAGCTCAATGCCGTAGCCGTAGGCCCATGCCAATCGGTATACCATTGCCAGTGTGTCCTGTCGGAACGAACATTTCGACCACGAATAACCAGTGGCAAGCCGTCACGACCGTCAGAAGTAGCAGGATAACAAGACAAGGCAGGTCTCATGGTCCATTTCATCCATCCCTCTCCATCTTGTCGTCGTCGCGATCTCTCCTCCTGTCTCTGTCCCGGCTGCGGCTGCGGCTCCTGCTCTTACTCTTGCTTCGGCTTCGGCTCCTTCCGCCCCGTCCTCCTGCTCCGCGGCCCTTGATCGCTATGCCGCCGCCACGGCCGCCCTTGTCCTTGGGCGGTGGCCGCACGAAAGCGTAGTCCACCGAGATGGTTTGATCGAGCAGTTTCGCGCCGTTCAGGGCTTTGATGGCGGCCTGGGCCTCGACCTGGGTAGGATACTCGATCAGAACATAGCCCTATACGTGGTCAGTCCTTCGATCGGGGCGTTGCGTCGATAATTCTTCTGGTGGTCACATCGTACCTTGACGTAGCCCGTCCTCCGATCCAGGTTAAGGTGCAAATTCTTGATGTCGCCGTACTCGGCGAACAAATCGTGGATGTCCTCCTCTGTGGCTTCTTCGTGGATATTTGTCGCGATTACGATCCACCCTTCGATACTTCGCACGGCGACAGCGTTTTGAACGGTGCGCGCCTCGGTGCCGGCGTTGGCGGGCTTTTTGGCGTCGGTGGGAGACGAAGAGCCATCCACGGGGTCTGCGGACGCAGGAGGGGCGGGATCGACTTCCATTTCCGTAGACATGGCGGAGTGATACACGTCGGCACCGTTGGAAGGAAAGAAAGCAAACAAGATGTGCGCCGTGCAGACTAACTTCGAGGTTGGAATGCAAGCAGCCTTTCATCTCTCGAACGGTCACTTGCAGATATAAATCGCCGGAGTTCACCCGGGCCGTGGCCCCTTACCTCCGTCCAGATCCCATTCTACTTCAACAACTGTTCACCTTTATGAATCTCTCCGTCCACTATATTAATGTTCAGAACTCGGGGGAATTTGCCCGTCAGCAGGACAACTCAAAGCGACTGGGCTGATGCTCACGGAGGTTGTCGGGTTGTGGAGAAAGGGACAGATACTCGCCGTGAAGGAGAACCGGAGGGCAATGGACCGGGATTAGCACGCGGATCAAAAGAAGTAGTGAATCGATGCCATGTGGTTGTACTCCTCGTGCTAAATTCCAGAGGACTGATAGCGTGGATTTCTGTAGATGTTCTCCAGCCAGTCTGTGTACAGGAGAGTTCAATACCCATGTTTTACTGCAATGGATGGAGCTTGAGTTTGACCATCGCCTCGCCGCGGACAGAGGTGAAGACGGAGCCAAAGTTAGAACCTCTACGATCACTTCCATGTTGTGGTCATTGACCCCTTTGAATCAACAGGCGGTCGTTTGCAGAGTGTACTCATTTTGAGATCTGACTCGATTTTGATCTTGCATGTTCTAGGCGTACACGGGAAAGCTCAGGAATCAAACAGCACCACATGCCTCCTTTACTCACTGTCGCCATTAGTCGTCACTGTGGTCCACGCCTCGCTTCTCAGCACCTGGTAACGTTGGCATCAGCGAACAACCACCGCACAGCGGAGGGACTATCGCTCGGCCCAGTCTCATGAACCCCTTCACAACTTCACAACTCACGTCGACTCGGAGCTGCACTGGAAGCAACCATACCTGATCGATCCTTTCGCATCAAAGCTGACTTCGATATCCAAGCGAGATAAATTCTCCTAGAAGAAGAGGTAAGCGATCAGGAAGCTGAGCAGACACAGTCCAGCAACGATCTGAAGTGGCACGCCTGATTCCTGGCTTTGCTGAACAACGGTTTGCACCTTCTCGTTCGCCTCTTGCACTTTTCTCTGCCGGACTTGAGGATCTTGGAGCTGGTTTGTCAACTTCTGGATCTGAGCTTTTGCGGATGCTAATTGCTCCTTCAGGTCGTCGCTTGATGTGGGTACGGCGCTGGCAACAACGGAAGGAATGGCGGTCACACCCGTGGTTTCAGCGGCGTTGGCCAAGGATGACTTTGCGGTCTCGGCGGTCGAAGCAGCGTTCGATGGTTGTCGGGCGGGCGTGTCAAACTGAGGGGATGGTGAAGAGTATGCAGGCGGTTGCTCGTCGTGAGATGATGACAGTCCATTGGGGGTCGCTGCAGCAGCAGGGAGGAAGTTGACGCGAATCTTGCGCTCTTGAATGGTGTTCTTAGCCGTCTTTTCCACGGTTTGCCAGAGGGTGGTCACGTTGGGATCTTGGTCGGGGGACGTGAGGACAGATTGAACAAGGAATTTATCCCGGCATTTGGCGTCCAAAGGCGGCTCTTCTTTCATTGCTTGTAGGAGGACTGCGGATGTTAGTCGAGGAGCGGGGGAGACCTTGGTGTCTGGGTCGCACCTTGAACCTCGACAGACTCATTAGGCTGGATCATGCCCGAGTTAGGGCGCACGCAGTATCTGTCGGCGTTAGAAAAGACGGGTGGTCGACTACGATGGTGTGCGCAGGCTCACTGCTTGGGCGCTGTGGTTTTGACCTGGTTGCAACGGTCAGCATGCGTGGTGCCAAGGGGTGTCGAATCGTACTTTGAATGCGACAGGTTGACTGTTGCCATTTGTGAGCTTGAGGGTCTCAGTGACCTCGTGGTTGAACGGGCCTGCTCCATTGTCAGTGTTTGCCACGGTAGCGATCGCAGCGATACTGACGTCGAAAGCCCAGTTCAGCTGGTTGAAGGTCGACAGACATGTTGAGGTGTCGATTGTAAGAGGGAGGCGCAAGTCAGGGTAATCGAGCGATAGGAATTGGGCAGGAGAAGGGGCAGGACTGAAATACTCGTACAGCAGAGGGCTGGTACTTGATGTTCAAGATGATAGAAATACAATTGGATTCAGCAGAGTGACTTGAATCTGGGAAAGGGTATGACGAGCGAGTGGTGCGCAGTGACAGCAACGGCAAGTGGCTGGTTAATGCCTGGCAGGACGAGTTGCGGCGTACAGTAACAGTTAGCCAGTCATTAGTTAGTTAGTTAGTTAGTTAGTTAACTGATTAGGGGCCCCATCACTTCCCACGCAGGGGCATCACGCTTGGCGACACCATGACGCTTAATTGAGCCCTGCGGTTCTGCAAACACATCCGAACAACTGTCCCGCACCGCATCACGCACTCCCCGCAAGCCTGTTTGTCCAGGTTAACAGCCTCGAAAAGCCTCAGAGAACAACCACTCGAGTGTCACACCATTGCCTCTGACTAGCTTTGTCAACGCTCTTTCCATGTACCAGATATACCGTTGCTGAATCAAAATCCATCTCTTTTGGCTTTTGCCGGTCGTCCCATTAATCTACTCTACTGTTCACACACCAATTGCGAATCCAATCCCCACACCACACGTCCGGGGTAGTGAAAGATAAGATGGCAACTACAGATCTCGATCAGCTGCTCATGATGGGCTTTGACAAAGAGCGGAGCGAAATGGCGCTGAAGAGCAGTGGGAATCGTAAGACGACCACCAACCTTTCCATATCTTGCACACTAACATACTGCAGTGGCGGATGCGATTGACTGGTTAGACGCCAACTCATCGAAAACACTCGAGGAAATCAAGGACGAGAAGGAGGCGGCAGCCCAGGCCAAAGCCGCGCAAGAGGCCGAACAAGCAAAGAGCCTTGTCTGCAACGAGTGTGGGAAGAAGTTCAGAGGGACGGCCCAAGCAGAATTCCACGCATCCAAATCCGGCCATACGGACTTCGCAGAGTCTACTGAAGAGATCGCGCCCTTGACGGAAGAAGAAAAGGCGGCGAAACTGGCGGATTTGCGAGAAAAGTTAGCAGCGAAACGGGCCGCGCAGTCGGAGCAGGACAAGATCGACCAGAAGCGGAACGAACAGATCAGCCGCAAAAAGACAAAGGAGACGGAAGATCTCAAGGAGCAATTGCGGGTCAAGGAACAACTGAAGGAGGCTGAACTGAAGAAACGAGAAAAACAACAAGAGATCGAGGCGAAAAAGCGCATACAAGCAAAGATTGCGGCTGACAAGGAGGAGCGCAGACTGAAAGCTGAGCGAGAGAAGGCCGAACGGGCTGGACAGGCCCTCCCAGTCGCAGCAGCACCCGTTCCCGCCGCGGCTCCGACACAGTCCAAGCCTGCTTCAGAGTACAAGGAGACGCGTTTGAGACTGCAAACGGCAAGCGGCAACATCTTGAAGACCTTCCCGGTCGAGACGACGCTGTTCGAGGTCGCCGCGGCGGTAGGCGAGGAGATTGGCAGGGATGTCGAGAGTTTCACACAGACTTTCCCTCGCAAGGTTTTTGGACAGGACTTCTTCGGAGAGAGCTTGAAGGACCTGAAGTTGGTGCCCAGCGCCAGCCTGATCGTCACGTAGGTCTGATCTTGTTTGCCTCGCATATTCTTTGGTGGCCACAGTTCTTTCATGGCGGAGGCGTCGGGGGGTTCGTGGGCTGCGTGCTGGGCTGACGATGACTGAAAGGGAATACCCATTGCCCTGGTAGATCTCGACCAACTGATGACATCCAGTAGATAGACGGAAATACAATCTCTGTCTCGAAGTATCTTCCAGCCGAGCTAGAGACTGGGCGAGAGAGGGCGAAAGAGGGAGAGATGCTTATTGCCCACTCATTATCTCGGCTTGACAAGCAGGTCCCCGACTTTCCCTTAGCGAGCCGACCCTCTCACTCTCTCTCTCTCTCTCCCTTCTCCTGTAGAATTCATCTTCAAGCTCACCCGTTGGCCTCGCCCACCTTGTCCTTCTTAAACACAAACAGCGCGTCATCCTTCCCTGCAAAACTCGGCAACGGCACCTGCGCGACCTTGCGCCACCCAGGCCTTTCCCGACTCATGTACTCGTCGACCATCATATCCTTGAACCCGGTGTATCCATTGCCATTCTGCGTGCCCGCCACGCAAACCACCTCGCCCGCGTACGCGTCGAGGACCCGCCGGGTAAAGTCGCCCCCCACGATAGGGTAGACCAGCAACAGCACGACGTCGGGACACCCAGAGCGTCTGCGCAGGTACTGCACGCCGTCCGTGACGGCCGTGTCGGCGATCCAGGTCGTCCGCCAGCGCGACTGTCCGCTGTCCACGGCCACGGTCTGGACGCCGAGCCGACGGAGCATCAGCGTCCAGTACCCGTTGCCGCTGCCCATGTCGAGCACGCCGCGTCCGCCCGCGCATTTCGAGATGATCTGCAGGGATTCCCACGACGGGACGACGCAGCCGAAGTGGTGCATGTACACTGGCAAGACGTGGTGCGAGGTCTTGACAAGGGCAGTGTGGGCGTTGGGGCCCGCGTACTCCAAGGCCATGCAGGAATAGGCCCAAAAGTCGAGAGATGGGTTTTCGTGGGCCTGTGCGGTGGCTGCAGGCTTGAACTTTGGCACCGTCATTGAAGCGTCGAGATGGCGTTTGCTCAGGAGATACTCTGCGATTGTAGCCCGGAGTGACCCCTTCTTCGCATTCGCCGACAATGATTTCAAACTGTTGGCAGCAGCTTTTGTCGGGTCGAATAGCGCGATATATGCTTGGATATCACTTGCAGGCGGGTAGCCCGCTGTCCGTAGTCCTGGTTGACCTGCAACAACCGCTGCTGCCCTCCCGTTCTGATCCTTGGTATGCGCCTCAGCTGGCTCGACATACCAATCATGTAAGCCGTTTGCTCTTCCGGCACGAATGGCTGCCTCCGCCTGGGCAAGATTGACGCTCGCCGTAGCATGATACGTGAAGCTGTCGCCTTGGGGTAACTCAAAGGCTGAGGCTATTGCTGCTCGAAATTCATGTGCTTTCAGGTGTGAGTGGACTCTTTCCCAAGTCTCGGGGTTGGCATTGTCGAAGAGATGGGACGGTGCCCAACTCTTTGAACCGTCAGTGACAGCCGGTGGAGACGGCGCCATCTGCTAGGATAGTTTCCGCTACGCCACGAGTCACCGAATCGTTTCTCACATGGACTAGACCGTAGGAGTAGTGGACGTCGAGAGTTGTGGAAAGCACTGGAGAACCAGGCGGTTGTGGAGCAGAAATCGATCCGAGTGACGACACCCGGCGGTCATACAAGGCTACAAGGCTGCAGGGCAAGGGGTTCGTATCGAGGACAGTTGCGCCCTTTCAACTCATCAACCACTAACAAGCCGGTTCCTGGCGTTTCCCTTCTCCCAGAGCTACAGATCACGCATAGATTTGGTCGTTGAACTTCCCAAACTTCTCTCTTCCCGGGGCATCCTTCTTTACAAAGATACTCACGCTGCATGACCCGACAGGAAACATTCCAAAGCCATGATCTCCGATGTGAACCTCCCCAGACTCCCAGCCCATAATGTCAGTCCAGACCTCGCCCTTGTGTTCAGTTCCCACATACATTCGGATCTGACCCATCTCTGCATTGGACAGGACAACGGCACAGCCATTTGGCCTGTCCCAGGTTCCTCGTCTGACCCACCCGATCAAATTGGGATTTTCCATGTAGTCATTGAGATCCCCATAAGCGTAGAGCTTTCGAGCCAAAACCATGTCAGGGATCTTGCCACCGGCCGACGGACCTCTCCAGTCGTCCGGAACACCACCTTTGATGCCATAAATGTTGCCATAGAAGACACACGGGTAGCCATCGATCCGCAGAAGGATAAAGGCATGAGCAAGAGGGATGAACCAATCCGCGACATCAATCTGAAGCGCCTGACTGGGTTGTGTGTCATGGTTCATGACCAACGTGACGCTGTTCCACGGTTCGACTTGGGTGAGTGTGCCGTCCCAGACGCTACGGAGGTCGGCTCTTGGGGTCATTGAGACGCGACGAAAGGACTCGACCAATGGAGCGTCAAACAAGGTGAATTTGTGGTGCATTTTGTCCAGATACGCCGTAAGTGATTCTCGTGAGGTTTTCCAGAATTCGCCCACGCAGAAAGTGTCTCGTCCGAGCTTCGCGTCCAGATTTCTAACGAATTCGAGAAGAAATCCCTCCGAGTAGTGCTGCGCTCGTTAGCAGCCACGGGTACTTCGAGGCGGAGACTTGCCTTAATGGCATCAAAGCGGAACCCGTCAAGACCCAACTCCTTCGCCACCCATGGACCCCAATTCTTAACGTCAGTTCGCACTTCGTGATGCGCATAATCCACTATGGGTCCAGGAAGTCAGCTTTTGCAAAGGTTGGGGTTGGATATTCTTCTGGTTGACGATGCTTCGACAGAAGTATGGCAACAGCAATATGATGAAGTAGAATGACATACAGTCGGCAAACATGAGGAAGTCTGAACTGGTTAGCAGACATTCTAAGCCATTGCTGCTGCGTACCCACCGTAATTGCCTCGTTCGTTGTCCACGTCAGTTGCGAAATGCTTGTTCTCTCCTTCGATCCTGTAGATAGCAGTCTCTTTGGTTCTTTGATCGTAATCTGTCGCTGAGAAATGGTACCAATGGTATTCCTGGTTGCTGTACTTGTCTCCTCGTCCGGGGAAGTCGAAACCTACCCAGGCATCAATGTCATAGGGTCCCGAAATAGCACGATTGCGGTCTGTCCTGGTCAGTGCTGCATCGAGTGCATGTTCCGCTCTCCCTACCGTTCGGGTCGACCTTCACGACCTTGGTCGTCTCCCATTTGTCTGCGCCTGCCTTGTGGTTCAAGACAGCATCAAAGTATAGGCCGATCCCGAGGTCGTCTGTCTTCTTGCAAACCTGAAGCAGCTCTTCCTTTGTACCCCACTTTGTTCCGACGGAGCCCTTTGCGTTGAACTCTCCCAGGTCGTACAGATCGTAGATATCGTAGCCGTTCCCCTCTGGCTTCGAAGCTTTACAAGCAGGAGGTATCCAGATGTTGTCGATACCAATCTTCTTCAGCTCCGGCAGAGCGCCAAGCAGGCGTTGCCAGTGTTTGTGGTCGGCGGGGACATACCACTCAAAGAACTGGAGCATCGTGTAGTTCTCCGGAGTTGGTTTGCGGTCATCTTCGGCTCTGGCTTCAAACAGTCCTAGCCATGTTGGTCAGCAGCAGGCATGTTGTCACGCATAGGATAGGCTTCGTCTCCGAGCCTTTCCAGGGCTGGGGTACCTGGAAACTTATTGCTAACACCAAATTTGCCCGCTACACGGTTGAAGAAGGCTCTACGCTTGTCAAAGCCGGGAGACGCCATAGTCGGGATGCGGAAGAATGGTGAGCGATGCGCAAGAAGTTCCCATGCGGTTGGAGGAGCAGCATTCCCAGCTTATCAGCTCAACTGGAAGGCGATATCCATGGCGGCAAGTCGAGGGCCGGGCTGAGCTGAAAGTCAAACAGCACAGCTGAGGACGATCGCGATTGCCATGTGAAGAGATGCATGAGCTTGCGACCAGCTTCGGGAAAAGGGCAGCTGGAACACGAGCTTGCATGGCCCACACCACCACACGCTTTGCATGGTATGTCGGACTCAGATGAAAACACCTAGTGTCTGCAGTCGAACGAGGAATCGTTGCTGCCGTGACCTGAACAGAGACTCGGCCAGACCTGCACGATTATGACGTGGCCGCGGGGGAAGCAAGTTTCACATTGTTCTGAGTGTGGCCTTAAATGACCAGAGGGCTGGTTCAAACCCCTCGTCTTAGTTGAGGCTGAAGCGAGACATCGTTGTTGCTCGACCAAACCATCTTCGCAGCCGACCATCAAGCAGTGAGGCTGGCTGAAAGTGTTCCCAGCACATCTGCAAGAATCGAAGCTGAATAATCAGCCCGATGCAGGGTTGCGTCACGGACTGGGAACTACATACTCGACTTGAAGCGGTTGGGATCCGTCAAAAGAGCGTATAACTAAAGATACGGTACAGACGAACACCAGCACGGACCCGATGAGATGCCCAAATTTCCGCACTTTTACTCACCCAAGCCCTTCGTCAAAGTCAATTCCCACCGCTCAATTTCTTCGCCAGTTTCCTTCGTTGGTTCTTGGACAATTTACGATTTCCAGCTTCCGGCACTGCCGTTACAACTGCCTTCACACTGCCCTTGTCCACCATCTTTCCGTTCACCTGGGGTACAGCTCCAAGGATCTCCCGATCACTCGACAGCGAGTCTGGGTACAGTGATTCCTCCTCAGCAAGGGACCCTGCTCGGGCTCCGTTGACGTGTGGTGTTTCTGTGCCGTCTGCCTCCTCAAGTACTTCTTCTGGGTGCTCTGAATCGACGTGACCATTCATGCCGAGGCCGTTAACGTCTTCGACCGTTCCTAGGTGTCCATTGACCTTTACAGGCTTTGACTCTTCGAGAAGCACCTCTTCAACCGGTACTTCTGCGACTGGAGTTTCTGCAAATGCAGGCTCTGGCGTTGACTCTTCAATTGCTGCCTCTGCCTCTGACGCTGGCTCTGGCTCTGACACAGGCTCCGGCACAGGCTCCGGCTCCAGCTCTGGCACAGGCTCCGGTATAGGCTCCGGCTCCAGCTCTGGCACAGGCTCCGGCTCTGGCATTGGCTCGTCAAATGTTGGCTCTGGTTCCGGGCATGGCTCGTCCGGTGCTGGTACTGGCTCTGACGCTGACACAGGCTCTGGCGCTACGATTCCTGGCTCCTCGAAACCTTCCTCTGCGGGATGCTCTGGTTGTGATGGCATTTCGCGGTTCGAGGTCTCGAAGTCCTGTTCGGTATTCTCCCCCCAATCCGGATAGCAATCGGCTTCGGCAAAGGGACACCCATCACAAAGACCCTCTTGCCGCTTGATGCCGTCATGATTGTGGAACCGGCACACTCCTGACAAGTAGTCTTGACGAGCCCACTCCTTGTCCCCAGCCCTGAGATAGTCCCAGCCAAGATCGCGGTTGTTTCTGAATGTGCTTTCCCACTCTTGGCCGGCGATGACCGAGCGCGAGAGCTGCCCCAACGCAGCCCTAACAACTTCTCGTAGCGGGCTGCCGGGTTCCGTGGCCTGGTAGATAGCGTCCACGATAGCCGCCTGCAGTTGCCACTCGCCACTGGCAAGATTCGCCCGCACCTTGTCTGTGACTTGGTTGCTGAGAGCGGAGATTTGGTATTTCCAGGCGAAGATACCAAGATTGACGACTTCCGGGAAACTCAGGCGGTCTTCCAGATGCGGATCGGGTCGATTACTCCAGATAAAGAATTCCGTCAAGGTTTGCACGGAGGTATCAGGCACGGGGACCGCCTTCCCATCGTGCAACTTGACGTGCTCCTGGAGGGTTCGTGAGCGACGTCGGAGGAGCTCCCGAGGAAATAGAAACGAGCCCTCGCTTGAAGTCGTATCTTCACCAACGACCAACTCAATCCGGGGACTCTGACACCACCTAGACATTTGTTAGTGACAATAGGTGCGAAATGGATTGTGGTATACTTCCCGGACGTATAGTCGGCGGTGACGAGGATCCATCCTTCACGGAGGGCCGTGCTGGGCACGACAGTGATGAGGCCGTGCAGAGACAGAAAGAGGTCTAGACATGCGGTGGTAATAGAAATACTTTGAGTCTCACGATATACCCCTCTAGAGCCTCACAGCTGACACGCACAGACTTACCGCAGGGAGCCGCTCGAGGCCTGGGCAGCCGACAAAATGCGTTGGAAGAGTGTGAATGGCCAAAAAAGTGAGGCTGGGTTCTTTGTGCTTGATCATGCAGCGACATGCTTGTCTGTGATTTATCGACTCTCCCGCCATTGCCCAATACTCAGCTGTTCGAATGGTTTCTGTTATCCGAGAACATCCCAGACCCTTCCCCCAACACCCCCAGAATGTGCTTACCATCTGCGTTGGCCGCGAGTCCCTTCAGCTTCTAGGCCCTTCTCGTGGATATGACAACAAATTTCTTAAGTGCAGGGAAGCAGGGGCCGGCAGCGGAGCAGCCAACCCTCCCCTTTATCACACGGGAGAGCTGCAGCCTCGACCGGTAGTGAGGTGGCAGATTTGTGCATGGCAATATCTCCCAATCAGGATGTGGAACCTCTCCAAGCTCGTCACGAGATGGGCAGAGCGACGCTGATGTGCTGATGGATATGGCCGATCCAGCGACTGACACTGGGAAGGCTCCGGTTGGCGAACTCGCCTTCGAACGGACGGAGTCCCATTCTTCTCGAAGCTCTTCTGTGGGCGTCTCTGCTGTTTCTGACGACTTGGTGCTTGTGGGCCCGGGTAGATGCTGTACCGATTCTGGGACATGCCATCAACTCTGCGAAGGGACTGGAGCTAGCCTCCGCAATCCCTTGGGCAGGCGCACACAACCACAAATTCGCGACGAGGCTAGGCATTGATACCAGTCGACGCACTCAACGAGCTGCAGCTATGATTGACTGCTTCACTGACCGGGTGCTGAGGTCGAAGGGTGTGACAAGTGACTGATGCCCCGCAGTCTCCACGGCGCCAGGTGGATGCTAGTCATGCACGTATAGCGTGGCACCTTTCGCTTCCTGCCGCAGAACATTATACCTTCAGCTTCGCTGCTAGGGAGTCAGCAGCGCGCGCGCATACCGTCGGGCTTTCGCATGCCACAATCCTGGTACATGGACACTGAGGATAGAAAATCATTTGAGAAGTCCGCTCTCGCGGAAGTGGTGCCCAATCTGGGGCTGTTGCGCCAAAGGGAACCGAATTCTCTCCAGGCTTGGCATTCCATTGGATATCTGACAAGATAGTCCCTAAAGCGGCTTACGCGTGCGCAATCGATGGAAGATTGCGACACAGGTATGGTGTCGAGATGGAAGTTGCATAGGTCGAGCCAGTCCAGTAGAAAGGCTACACCGGTTGTCTCGGTCCCGAGTATCACCTGTAGCGCATATGACCGAAAATGAATGGGTTAACCGTGGCTACATGAACACATGTCCAACGATAACTTGTCCAGGTCGCCTAGTGAAACGGGCTCAGGATTCTTGTGCCATCGACCAGCTTCTATCACAAGCATTAGTGAGGAGCCAGGTGAACCAGGGTTCGAGCGATATAACCCGCGATCTCCTCCTCTTTCACTGTATTCGGCGAGTGGCCTCCAATAGCCCAGAGGAACCTGCAGAACATGCGAGAGATTCGATCTCTTGGAGGCCCACGTTTGCACGATGCTCAAGACTGGATATCATGGTGAGGTGCGTATCGGCGTAGAGATTGTCCTTCGCTTCAAGAAGGCTGTGCTCCATGGTTCCAAGCACAAGACGATCGCCGGCATTGCCACGGAGACCTGCATTGAGGATATGTACCACTCCTGTGCAGCAGCCGGACACATGGCTGCTTCTCCGATTTGTCGTGGAGGCCACAGCAATCTACTTCGAGCACTCTCGACCCAAGAAGATGTCAGATTGTGAACGGCGCATCTCGCGAGCATCTAGGTGGGTATTGATACCGATGGAGTCACCCTCGTTAGCTCAGGTAGGCAGTCGGACGGACTGAGGCATCATATCACCGTGAAGGGAGTGCAGTACTGACACAAGGGTTTGGTCGTTCAGGTCGGTTTGAACCATATGGAAAGAGATATTCAGGGAGGGAGAGGACGCAAACATCTAAGTTTCCCCCAGGAGCGACCGGGTTGAAGTCGCCAATCGCCAGGGAATCGAAGCCAGGGGCTGCATTTGTGAATCTCAATTGTCTCTCTGGCAGAAACTCTGCGAAATCGACTGTCGTAGCGTTCTGAGGCACAATAGGCAGCCCGCTGTCGTTCACGTTCCACGTTCAAGGACTCAGAGTGGAGAGCGGAGACGAAGTTCTGTATGGGCCGCGGAAAAGGATACTCTGAACCCGGTAGCAGCGCCAGACAGCGGGAGAAGGCGAGGATGTGACGTGTACATTTTGTTGCGAAGCAGGAGACAGACAGCACAGGTTCAGACGGTCGACCACTGCAGGAATTAGTGGCAGCGTCATGTTGCTGGTGCTCGTACCTGCCCGTACCCAGTACGAGTACCTGGTACTTCGCGCCTGCGCTGGAGGTGGTAGGCACGAGCAACAATGAGGGCACACGCACATGACATCATAGCCTCGGTCCAAATTGCGACAAGACAGGAACTTCCGGAGATCGTGCCCATAGAAGAGCGTACCTAGTGTAGGTATGTTCCGAGGCATTCTCGCGTCACCGTTCGGCCGCTTCGAATTGATGTACTGGGTACCACGAAGCTCGTCTTTAAGCTGGACGTGGAGACCGACCTATAAGGGAAAGCCCAGGGTAATGTGGAGGCTCCCCAGCCCTCTTTGGTTCCAGACCCGCTTTAACGAAGGCTTTGCCCTCGGGTGTTCGAAGCCTCGGTCTCCGCACCAGGACCGTCGACAGGGTACATACATCCTGACTCTGCAGCACCATGTCAGAAGGACTTGTCGACCATAACTCATGAGCTCTCGCGGACGCTGAGTAAGGACTCGGCGTGTCATGTCATAGCCATGGAGGCGCCCACGCCCAAAACGACCAAATCTCGCCGGCGGGATCCCGACGACGGCCGAGTGGAGAGGAAGCGGATTCAGGACCGACTGGCTCAGCGAGCCACGCGAGAAAGGACCAAGAATAGGATCGCGTATCTCGAACAGCGACTAAGCAGCCTTGAAGCTGGCGACAAGCACGGCGAAATCATAAACTTGACGCGCATCATTGACAACCTGCGCAACGACAACAATCGCCTCCGAAATGCCTTGGTCAAAATGCGGACGGTTATCGACCAGGCGGTGCTTCCCACGGAGGACCTGGTGGAAGGCCAATCAGCAGTCAAGGCCTGTGTTTGCAGCACGCAGGCCAAATGTATTTGCCAGCAAGGGACCTTCCCTGCGAGTCCTTCGGCCACGCTCGAGGATGCAGCCCCTGCTTTTCGACACACTTCGGTGTCATCAACGGGCACGTCGGAGGTAATCGAGGTGGTTAATGGCGCCAATGTTGGCTTGGATCCTGGCATGGAAGCCTCTGATGAAGTACAAGCCGATACGCTGCACGAACTCCTCGATTTCAGTCCGAACACGCTACTGGAAATGTTTGAATTCGGCCCGCCCTCCGGCTACAACGGCTGGCAGTCAGCTGCTCCCTCCCCGTTCGACTATCGCTTCCCGTCGTCTTACGACACGGTGAGAGTTGCACCAGACCTCGAGAAATGGGAGGTTTCCAATGGCGCGTTTATCAACTGTCTGGACTACGTCAAGAGACGGACCGCGACCACATCCACACTCGACATGCATGTACCGTTCAAGGCGGTGATATGGGGTTGGAATAATGTCGGCCCAGAAGCTAATCATCCGATCTGGAGCTCGCTGAGACAGGTCGATCAGCGCGTGTTCGGCACGTGGACTTCCAAAGCGCAAAGGATTGCTCTCATGTACGGTATGTGCTTGCTAAGCGGTTACCGTACCATGCAACTGGGATGCTCACAAGACTGCAGTCTGCCAAACGCTGATCCAGTGGCGAGAAGATCCAACAAAGGAGAACCTGGAGCGAGTACCCGTCTTCCTTCGGCCGAGGCCTTCCCAGGAGAAGATCCAGCACCCTGCAGTGATTGACTTCCTCATATGGTGCGTCAGCCTTGGAATCAACGTCGAGATTGAATGCTGACCCGATAGGCCTGGTTTGCGTGACCGACTTGTCTTCGAATACCAGAAGTACACCTCTACGGGCGACTTCTCTGCAGCATTTGTAGAGAACTTCAACTTCTACTGGCCTTATCCAGACAGGGATATCTTTGCATACAACCAGGTGCAGAACCGTTATGAGGTAGGTCTTGTCGATCAGCAGCATCCGGATCGTGGGATTTCTCCGTACCGCTGTCTCGATGGTACCGTCTTCCCATGCTAATGGCATTGTAGGTGTCCAAGACATTCCTGGAGTACGCCTACAACTTCAAAAACTGGACGATGCGACCCGGCTTTTTCAAGAAATTCCCCGAAATGCAACACGATATTGCCGCGTTCAATCCGAGCTCAATGGAATGTCCGAAAGAGAGCTGGTCGCTATAAGCGACCCCGTCACTGCAGAGATCACGAGCATATTGACCGGCGATTCGCGCGCTCCGGAGTTATCAGCAAGCAGACGAAGAGGGTCCAAACAGTGAAAGAACACCGCGGAAAGAAACAGACCGTGATAGTGGCTGCGGGCTTCGTGATGTTCAAATCAAACACGTGCACAGCTACCGATTGGGCTGAGAGCAGCGAAGCAGACCTAGTCCGTCCTCTCGTTAATTGTGAAGCCCCTGCACAAGTCATTAGCAGTAACCCCGGACGGGGTTCAGACACGACGCACCCATCAATGACAAGATTGTGGCCCACGACGAGGCTCATCCTGGGCGTACTGAGAAGCACCACCACATCACCAATTTCGTCAAAAGTCGCCTTCCGGCCTTGTCTCTTCTCATGTACCT